GTAACAAATAATATAAATACTTGCCCTATCATTGAAATACATTTGATAAAAAATATCCAAACTCTTGAATCAGACTGTTTTTTCTGAATATTTCGATATTGGAAACTTCCTACTACTAGGCTATTGAAATCCTGACCCTTTATTATATTAGCCTTATCTATATTATATCGATTTTCAGGTTTTTTTATCAATAATCTCTGATAATTCGAATTTTTAAAACTATAATATAATAATATCATATAAAATACCCAAAACTCAGACAGAATCGATCCTATACTATCTCTTGATTTTAATCTCTGGATTTCTTTCCAAAAAATTATATATTCATTGTTTTCCAAAAATATAATCAAATTCTTTTATATTAAGGAGATATTTTCCAATTTTTCGAATTTACTAATAGATAAAATTAGTATCTAAACTCTTTTATATTAATATTTATTCTATTAAACATTTCTCCTGAATCAGAGCAATCTTTTGTATATTCTAATAACTTTTTTAATAGAAGATATAGTTATTGATATAATTATAAAATATGATATAAAGAATCTCATAATCCAAAGTAGTTTTTTGTATCGAAACACTATTCATGATAATATTTAAAGCTACAGCAATATCGTTTTTAATATAGAGTTTTGACATTATATAAATAATAGTATATCAAAATTTGAAATTGATTAATTGAATGATTATTTAATTATAAATTTTTGAACAGGGTAGATTACTTAGGCGATATGGGTTTTTAGGGTGATCCATAAGGGGGGATAGTCCATATATGAGGTAGTTGACTTATATATAGCTTATAATATATGGACTATATAATAAGGCTATAGTCATAAATAATATAAGAGTTATATAGGAAAGGTTATAAGTGTGACCAAAAGGGTATAAACAGGACTCCGATTGTATACTTAGAATCTATAAGTGAAGAATTATATAGGATACTAAAAGAAGGACTATATATATAGATTTTGGGAACTTTAATAGCTAGGCCCAAAAGAGTGAAAAGGAGAATTAGAGATAAGTATTGTATAATGTTTAAGTCTAGAGTTATAGAATTAAGGTTCTATATTAAGAAAGGAAGGTCTAAAAGAACTGTCTTATTATACTATATAAGGTGTATAAGCTAGTGGATGGAAGAGAGCTGTCTGTTCTGTTACAATCAGATCTAATTATAGTTATATAAGAGATATATATATAGTACTTAAGAAAAACTTGAAGATCCTACTCGAGTGCTTTAAGTATCGGTAGTAGATGAATTATACTAGACATCCCATAAAAAGAAGAGTACTTACTTGAGTTAAGAGATAGAATTTAAGAAAACGAGTTATTACATTTTCTTCTTCTTTTATTTTCTGATATAGCAGTAGGAATTTACAACTAGGAGTATATATTATTAGTAATATGAAGTAGCTACTTAAGTAAATTATAGACTTTCTAATGATATAAGTATTAGTATATCTACGAGTAAAAAATAGACGATCAATACCAGGAACCCGATATTGAAAGCCGAAAATTGCTATCACAAGTACTCATACCACCAGAACGCTGCCAGAACAGAAAGTCCGTAATGCAATTCGGGAACTAATACAAACCAGGATATTCCTATCATTTATAGTTTATATTAGCTACGCTACAATACCCGAATCACGGACTTTTGGGCTGCATGAGTACCTATGTCAAATTCTAAAACTAATGCATGACACGATGCGGCATTGCATATTTACCGCTAGTAGTACCGGGTACTGTAATGCATCTCGTCATCATGAACTCCACTGGCGGTGGCGTTCTTGATTGACTACTTGGGAAGCTCTTAATGTATCTATACCTACTCGAGTATACATTTACATCTATATCAATAAATATACTCGAGTATAAATAAATACATACATACATTCATACTTCGCAGTTCAAGTATTTAAGTTTAAGTTTACCGAATAATTGCCCCTTCATCTCAGTCCCATCCCCATTTCCACACCCCAACAACCATCCTCCACTCACACCTCATGATAACCAATGAAGAAGAATCTAATTTTCGCATCTTCCTCGATTGTATATCTACCCCTCTAATCGAGAAATGCACATCTGAATCCGTGACCTCCAGCTCCGAGTCATCGAAACGGAAAACGCGAGTGAAAGCGAAGGCGGGGAGGAAAACGGCCATGAAATTTATTTCGACAGATGCAGATGCAGATTTAGAAGAGACAGAAATTAACGATGCAGCCGAGCTAGCGGATTTTATTGAAGTAGGATCCTGTTCCTTTTCTATTACCCATCCTCAATACAAGAAGATGGAAGAATCTAATGCGTAAACTCCCACCAGTACATCGCCCAAGAAATATTCACCCATCTTCCAACCGACCTCCGAAGATTATCATACACAAGCTACAACAGTACCCCCTCCCTCCAAAAACTATACCCCCACCTCCACCACCATCTCCAACACCGTACCCCCCAGCATCCCTGACTCCCTCCACACCTATTCGCTGCTCCCCCTCTCCACCCCCACCTCCTTCCCCTCCTTCCTACACCCAATCATATCCTCCTACTTCTCACTCTTGCTTACCCCTCCCCCCGTCCTCAAAACGTCCATCCCCACCTCCTGCGAACTCTGCGCTCGCTCCTGGATCCCACTCACCTACCACCATCTCATCCCCAAATTTGTCCACGCCAAAGTACTAAAGAGGAAATGGCACGCCCAACCCGATCTCAATAGTGTAGCGTGGCTTTGTCGTGCGTGTCATAGTTATGTGCATAGGGTGGCCGGGCATGAGGAATTGGCGAGGGAGTTTTATACGGTGGAGTTATTGGGGGAGAGGGAGGATGTGAGGAGGTTTGTGGGGTGGGTGGCTGGGGTTAGGTGGGGGGCGAGGTAGGGAGAGGGAGAGGGAGAGGGAGAGGGATGGGGGTGTGGGAGAGTGGGGAGGTTATTGGTATGATCTGGGGGATTTGGTGCTTTGTAGCGGATAGGATAGGTATGCAAATGGAAGGTTTAAGGGTTGGATTGGGTAAAAGGAGTGATACAGTATTAGCATGATGGGATTTGGAGTAAAAGGAAGATAGTACGGTATATAATGCGAGCTACAACACTTTATGATACATACGACCACAGACTGAGGAGAATTGGGCATCCCGTCCGCTCTGCCATACACAAGCCTCAGATCGGTAGATTAGTAGTTGGGTGGGTGACCACCAGCGAATCCCTACTGTTGTATGTTTTTTATTTCTTTTTGGGGATTTGGATGAATACTAGATAAGGGATGGAGGGATGGAGGGATGGAGGGATGGGTGGGTCACAACTAAACCAATCTTGTTATAAGCGAGAGGGATGGATCTCTTTTGGGGTTTTGGTATAAAAATAATATCCTTTAATACGTTTAATACCTGGATTGGTGGGTATCTATCTACCTAGTAGGTATACATTGAGCACAACTCTTTATCGAATAAAGAGAGAGGCAAAGGAATATCCTTAGTTTTTTTTAGCTCCTGAGTTACAGACGACTTTCTGTCTAGCGATATAAGTACTATAATAGAACTTAATTATATCGGATTAAAAAATTTGATTACTCAGATCCGGTATATCAAAGTTTGTATAAAATTTCATATAGATTTTATACTAGAATTTATAAAGATATTGAAAAATAACTATTTAATACTCATAAATCATTATATAATAAATTTTAATCGGAAACTATCTAAATTATTTCAACTAGAAAAACGATTAATATATATTTTATATTTCTATTATATTTATTTATTAGATATAAATGATTACATTGAACAAAGTATAATCTGATTATTTATATTATTTATATTAGTATTATATAGTTATATAAATACTTATTAATCCCAAAATCTATACTTATATATAACCTCTTTAACTCTGACGACTAACAAAAGCCGGAGCCTCAGCATCCAACGACGTAATATTCTTCGACAATCTTTGAATTCTCCTCACAGCCTCATCCACGCCATCCACAATAATATGAGGCCCACCACTCGCCATTTCTCCCATCCTATCATGCCAGATGCCACTCCCCGAATCCCCATCCTTCCTCGCTACCCAACACGTCTTCAAACCACAAGCTCTCGCCCCCACAATATCAAACGGATTACCACTCACGAGCCACACATCCCCCGCATCCCCATTCTTTGCCGCTTTCCCCGCCTTCCCCACCTTCCTCAGCAAATATCTGTAGACTCTTGGATCAGGCTTATAGCACTTCACCTCCTGCACGGTAATGAGCTCTTTAAAAACCCCCGCATGTACCGATAACGAAGGAGATTCAGTGACAGATGCTGACACCATGGCTTCCGATCCGTTGGAGAATACATAGGCGTCGATATCGGGATCCTGCGCCAGTGCAAGCAGTCCAGCTTCGACGTCGGGGAATGTAGAGAGCGCATTGTAGGCGCTCATTATCTTGGCCATGTCGGGGATGGAGATGTCGTGATGGTGTTCGGAGAGCGCTTGTCGGAGGGCGTGGGTGGTGACGGCTTCGAAGGGTGCGTAGACGGCTGGTGAAGGGTAGATTAGGGTATGTTATTTATAACTTATCCAGAAGTGGTTTTTGGGTGTTGGGTATGTGGGATGGGAAGGGAAGGGAAGGGAAGGGAAGGGAAGGGAAGGGAAGGGAAGGGAAGGGAAATTATGGGTATGAAAGGTAGGAAAAGTAGGAAAGGAAAGGGGACATACACATGCTATTCATGCGAAATGTATATTCCAATTGCTACAACAAGATATTAGAATCCGATGTATACTATAGGTCGTGATCGAGCTAGCTTTCACATACATATCTTCTCCATATCGTGGCAATAAACTGTGCTTTCTCCTCAAAAGGTAGATATTTGGCCAATTCTTTGGCGATACTCTCGGTTGAAAGGAGAGTACCATAGAGGTCGAATGCTATAACGGTTTTAGAGTTAGACATGATGGATTGTAGACGGTGATGATTATTTCATTCTTGAAGTGTGGAAGTGTTGAGATGTTGGAATATTGAAATTAATATCGTGGGAAATGATAGATATTTATACTTCAAGAATTTATGAGCTATTCATTGATGTATGACGTCTGTATTATATAATAGGCGGGAAATAAAATGTGAGTTGCGGGGTAAGATTTTCCAGCATTATAGTAGAACTTACTAGGTATTTATACTAAACCGAGTTACAACTTATATCGTAATCCTAGCAATCCTAGCAATACTAGAGTAAATTAAATTATTATTCTCAGCGATTTTATATACTCGTAGTGATCCCAGATATTCAACTTATACCAGAATATCAAACGAGTTCTTCAAAATTCCGATACTCGAGTATAATTAAAGGCATTTTTCTAGCTAATATAAAATTCTTTTCTTTTCTTTAAAAAATAAAAATAAAATACAAATTCTCATTAGAAGACTTCAAAGAGGCTTTCAGAATTATACCTTGTGTATCTAGCCAGACCGCAAGGAGCTGTGAATTGTCCGGGGCGGAGAAGAAGAATTGTATATAATAGGTAGCTTGCTGACCACAGTGAGATGAGATGAGATGAGATGAGAATATGATATCACCTCACTAGAGGCTCTATAGACTTGAATACAAATAAATTGACAAGATATCAAAGAAGGAAGTATCGTTAATTTTATGCAAGGGTATCGTATGCATAATGTACATAGTATTTACCCATTTGTCCATTTTTGTCTATATAATCATACACATTTAACTACCGTCTCGCTTCTAACCTCTTGGCTTCCGCTTTCAAGGCAGCTTCCCTCGCCTTACTCTCCTCCGTCACGGGTTCACCAAGGCCTTCTGTTGGTTCCCATGTAGTTATCCCATTTTTCGCAGCTTCTAGACGTTTCCTTTGGCCCTCCTCACCCGCACGACCTAGAACACCGGCTATAAGTTGGATACATCTCAGACTGAGAAATTGTTAGCGTATTTCAAGAATGATACCAGAAAAGGTAAACTGACCTGTCATCATTGGCCGGTATTGGATACGTGACCCAAGTGGGATCCGCATCCGTATCAATAACACCAATTGTCGGAATATTGTACAACCCACACTCATGCAACAGGATATAATTCTCCAACGGGTTCAAACAAACAACCAAATCCGGTTTCAACGGCCTCCAACTCATAAGTTTCTCATCGTACCCAGCTACCTCTTTGTCAAGGGGATCCACAGCCTTAAGAGCACACTTGGAGAGAATTTGATCGCCATTCGTGATACTACCCGCCACCCAACGATTGAAAAGATGGCATCCTTGTGCAAGCGAAGCAGCTTTTACAATCGCCGAATCTTGACCGGCACGAGTGCCGACAAAAAGAATAAGACCACCATGGTAAGCCACACCTTCCACAACCTTTGCACAACGACGTAAATGAGCGGCCGTCTCCTCCAAACTTATTATATGCACACCTTGTCTAATACCATAAATGTATCTCTGATTTGCGGGATTCCAAAGTTGAGTCGCATGGCCCAAATGACTTTGACTCGCCATCAAAAGCTCCAGCGTTACATCTTTTGGCGACGGAGGATTGACGATCAGTTGAAAGGGTTCATAATGTGGAGGTATGACGGAACCCATTTTGCCTGTTCTCTTTTTGATATGGTTGAAGGTTTGAAAGTCTGCTGCGACATTAGGAACATTTCGATCCCGCGGTTTCTTCTTGTGTGGAGGTTTGATTTTGCTGGTGAGTTGGAGGGCATTGACCGCGGCGTCGAGAGAATTGGTTTGATTGTCGTGGTTGTCTATCGAGGCTTCGAGGTTGGAGGTCTCTGTTGAGAGGGTGCGGAATTGAGGAAGGCGGAGGGGTGCAGCGAGTGCTTTTCGGCCTATTTTGAATTTTAATTAATGGCCCAGACAGGCAGATGTCATAGTAGCTTACCATGCCGTATCGCGGTATTTCTCAGTATCATTTTTCTCAGTGTTTATGGCTATTTTGGTGTTATCGAGATCTTTTTGAGATCTCGGACATTGATATCACGCTAGTGGGGAACACACGCTAACCCTGTTTTAGGTAATCCGTTCTTTCAATTAACAGCGTTGATTTTTTGATAGAATATAACTTTCATGGGATGATAAGTCAAAGATCACATGTAGCATGGCAATCGGATTCAATTGTTTGCAAAGAAGGGTATAGTGTTGAATTCGCGCAAAACTATCAAATGGTTATCAGAAGGCATCATGATGCTTGTATGACTTCGTCTGGCAGACAGAGATCTACGGAGAATTGAAGTCTAACAATATAAACGCAAGGTCCAAAACTCTATATTAACGGCTCGTAGCGCGAGTCAATGCAAAAACTCCAATAATAACAACTGCAAGAGTCACAATTGCTCCTGGCAATAACAACTCATTTGGTACTCCTTGAATAACCTCCGGAGCTGCCTGTTGGACCGCTGCCTTTCGTGACTTTGATTTAACTCGAGGTTCATCATCACTCTCGTCATCATCATCATCGTCATCAACAGCCCGGCGTCTTCGGACCGTAGCTGATGCTGGTGGCGAAGCTACTCGGATGATAGGTGGCTGGGGATCTAAAGTGGTAGCCATCGGTGGCTTCTCGGGATCATGAACGAACAAGTCAACTTTATCCCGATGGCCATTTCTAGCGAGCACAATTGCTTCCAGAAGATCTTCGTCCGTTGTGATTGATATAGAATCACCCTCATCGTCTAGATAACTGAGAGCGAAGCCGGACGAGCCAAGTTTGCCATCCTCCACGACTGCTAAGCCTCCGACAGCATCTATTTCTGCTCCCAATTTGCCTGCGACCGCAGAAATAAGTTCCGCCAGACCATGACTGGCTGTGACTTGAACTCTATGCACACGTCCGCTTGGGGCCTTGAATTTGAATGCGAATGGAACATCCTCGGGAGGAATTTCTATGTGACGACTCAAGTGCGAGTGCGAAGGGGAATCTACACCAATGTGTGAAGCAGAATCGTTAGGAGCAACACTAGCATCGACTTGACGTTCATGACCCCGTGACATATCTGGGGACATTAAAGAGCGACCGCCAGTTGTGTGATGGTGGCTTCCCTCGCCAGACACTACTGATTCGGTTTCATGCTCGAGAGACATCCAAAACTTATTCCATGCTGGCCCACTATCACTTTCACCAGTCTGCATGGTGTTGATTTGCTCCAAGGTGGCGTATGTAAGCTTCAGAACATCCACCATTCCAACAATTTCGCCTTGAGCGTTCATAACTGGTAAGTTTAAGTAGTGGCCATCTAGTAAAGTCAGTGAAGGTATAGCTCAGGACAACAAGAACCTTACCATGCATCTTTCTTAGTGCTGCTTGAATACTCATATCCATAGGAGCGAAATCCGGGTGCGGGGTCATGACACGTACAACAGAGCAGTTGGAGGGGTCCAATCCTGGTGCTATAACACGTAAAACAACATCTTTACTTGTAAAGATACCAGTAATTGAGCCCCCATCTTGGACAAGAACAGCCGTGGTATGGTTTTCCTTCATTAACGCAGCAGCCTCTTTGACGGATGTTCGTACAGTGACAGTCACAGGTGGAATTCCAGTAAGGACGGATTCCAAGGTAGGCCCAGACATCTTTGATCGGAGAGCCTCTACATATTGGATAATTTGTTGCGGTTGGCTGGAACCCAACTCAGATTGAACACCTTCTAGAGCGTCGTAAAGTTTTCTCGATGAGCTATAAGCCCGCTCCAATTTTTCCATGGCATCGTAAAAGCACTTTGTGATGTCGAGGATACCCGAAATATCTTGGTTCTCGTCCATGACTGGTAAATGACGAAATCCCTTTCTAACCATCAAATCTAAGGCATCGGTAGCACTCGTATCGGTTCTCGCGCAAAGGGGGTTTTTGGTCATAATTTCAGCAATCGTAATATTGGCGGCCTTGATTCCTGCTCCAACAACCCGGAAAGCCAAATCTTTGGCAGTAAAGATGCCTGCAATGCGGTCGTCATCATCGGTAACTAAGACACAATCTTCTCTCTTCGCTGCCATCAATTGTGCAGCCTCTGCCACAGTAGTATTCGGTTTTATTTGGAGGGCTTGAGTTGGTCGAAGGGCGAGAACTGTTCCCGGAGGGGCTTTTCTTGTCTGTCGAGCACGACCTGTCGTCTTACTCTTCTTGCTGAGATCAGTCTCGATCTTCCGCCGGATGGCCTATGGAACTGTCAATCTCGAGGTACTTTTTTGACTTTTAATTTGCGGCATGGTGGGATGGTTTGAAAACAAACAGTTTTTTTGACCCCCAGAGATTATCGAATCCCCAAAAGGGGAACATTATAAAATGATGATAAGAAAGATATATACATACCTCATCCCTCTTGGATTGTTTTGCTCTGCTTGCACTCATACTGGGTCCGCCGACTTCACTGTGTGTATTTGGAGTAGTAGTTACATGAGTCGCATGAGTTTCTGGTGCGGGTCGAGGAATATTCGACGCAGGACTATTGCTAAAGACGGGCAGTTGACCACGCGATTGACCGCTGCGACTTGGTGCACGCATTGTTCCAGTAGTGGATGCCATGATTAATTATGCGTCCACAACTTTATGAACGATGTACCGGTATCGTACTCGTAGGTAGGTAGAGAGCAGTTGGGAAAACTCAATCGCGAAAAACAAAAAAACAAATTGAGACTTAATACAAGAAATATAGGCAAAGTTTGAAGAAGTTTAGATGAATCAAATTCCACGATTTGTATCTTGTTACCTCCTTTTGATAACTTAATAAAATAAAATAAGTAAAACAGTTCAAGAATTTGGGGAACGGTAAGTTGATAGGAAAACACCGAAGTTCACATTCCAAATGCTAAAAAAAATCGAATTTGAGTAAAACGATTTCACCCGGAGATTTGACTTGAGTACGATATTTCTTAGGGTCGCTAAATTATCTTATGATTGGATGAATCAGATTCAAATCAATTTTATCGTAAAATCAAAAAATCAATAGTCGGAATTCATTAGTTATAAATAACAATTATGCAAAATTACTCGGATTAATTGATTTATCCGTAAGCCTTATTTACACAGATCACGTGAATATTTGTTTATCATCTCCGATTGGATGAATGATACGAATTGGTTGCTGTTGCAACGGATAGTTGTTGATTTTGGCGCCTAAGATAACATACATCAAATCCAGAAGAGGGAAGGGTGCGCGCTGCGCTGGACTATCTAAACCTTCAATTCTTCACTTCCCATCCCCATCCCCCTCCCCTCAATTATCATCAAAATATCTCTCCACATCTCCACAAATTCAAATTCAAAAAATATAACTTCAATATCCTAAGAACATATACCTTAATTATTACAAACCACCAAATTAAAAACACTTCCTCTACCTCGAGAAGACTTTCATTAAGAAAGAGAAAGTACTAGCTTTTTTTTTCAATTGACTTCAAAGGGCTGAGGAAGTCCTATATCTTTTAAGAAGACTCTCAAACGAGTCAATAACTGCTGAGCAGTCCTAAAGATCAATATTTGCCCGGCCTAACGGCTTGCGCTGCGTGAGGTATGGATGGATATCTAGACCGCTCCGCTCTACCTACCAATCTAGTACCTAGATGGGTATCTTCATATAATCATCATCACGCTAATCATGCATTGTATGCATAGTCTCGGAACATATAGGTTTGCTTAATTGCAATACTTTCAATCGACGACATTTCCGAACTCTTCTAGCATTCATAATGCTGTCTAATCCAACCAACAACCTTCAAAATCGACATCGACAACACAGACGACAAATTTCGACACCAACCGCATTCGATGCAGTGAAGGCAAATAACCTGCCACCAGTCCAGAGACATGCCCACCGTCGTGGAATAAGTCTGGACACACGACCACGACCAATACAACAGCAGGAACAAATGGTAAGTAATACTAATATAGGATATCAAACGACACCGCAGCATATTTTGCGAGAGACGCAGCAGCAGAGACTGGTTCGCCCGGGCCAGCAGCCATTTTCAATATACGACAATGACGAGAATCAATTTGTTTCACCACTCGTCACCCCACACAGACAATCGTTCGATTCCGGATGCTCAAATCCATATGATGTGCAAGGACATCAACAATCATATTCATATTCCGGTCCAATGAACCCGATAATACCAGTCGACCCAAACTTCAATGGGGGCAATGACTTTGATTTCTTCACTGCGAACACAGCAATGACACCAACTTTCATGGAATTCTTCAACGACTCAAGTGTCAATTCACAGCCAAGTTCTGCAAATCACAGCAGAAGATCATCGAGACGGATTAGTGGTGTGATCTTGGATAGAGTTGCTCAATTCGAGAACCTAGCTTTGAAATCACCGCAAAGACCTATTACACCTCCAGATGTAAACTCTACCAGTAAGTTATCATCCTGATGATTCTTCGGACATGTTCTCATCGATCTAGATTACTTTCCTTCAGCTTCCCTAGATAGCCCATTCAACCGGACAATCAAGCAGGAGCACATCCCACAAAGATTTCGTGAAGACTACGATACATCTATGGAAGAGACGATTAAGCCTAAAAGTAATCAGAGAGCTAAGAATGTTTTCGACGATATGAGACGAGAAGCTGAGATGAAAGCCGTACCGACCCCACCTGGATCTGGACCCGTACCCACTGCCAGCACATTTGACTCCGCACCAATGCCAACATCGAATTTCATGAATATGTCAACTATCAACCTCGATTTTATGAAGAATGATCCACAATTTCACGCGGCCCAATACTCACCGACTTCTTCTAATGTATCACGAGATCTATCATATCCCTCATCTCCAGAACAATCTCGCGCAAATGTTTTCAGAGATCCTTTCACGAACAGACCAATCTTAGAAGCACCAGACGTATCACCTTATCCCTTGTCAATTCATTCCCACGGTCTTCCAGCTTCAGAGCCAGCTTGTAGTTCTCCTGCGCAGTCTTGCCGACGATCCGAATCAGTGTCAAGTATCAATCTCGAAGAGTCAATTACCGATACTGGAATCACCATTGATGACATTGCTACCTACATCCAAGCACCGGAACCTGGTGATACGAAATGGCTTTGCTTGTATCCAGAATGTGGTAAACGATTTGGCCGAAAGGAAAACATCAAGTCACATGTTCAGACCCATCTTGGCGATAGACAATTCCAATGTCCACACTGCCACAAATGCTTTGTACGCCAGCACGATCTCAAACGGCATGCAAAGATTCATAGTGGTGTAAAACCTTACCCGTGTCAGTGTGGAAACAGCTTTGCAAGACACGATGCCTTGACTCGCCACAGACAGCGCGGGATGTGCATTGGCGCTTTTGAAGGCGTGGTCAAGAAGACAGTCAAGAGAGGCAGACCAAGAAAGACTCGACCTGACGATGATGACCGAGTCGAAAAGTCATCACGAACTCGAAGCAAGAACAAGACAAGTCCCTCAGAAACATCATCATCAGAATACTCGGAAAGTGCATGCGCCCAATCGCCTCGCAGTGATCTGGATGTACTTGATGATAAACCTTTTGGAGAGTATGGATATTCCCAAAGCTCCCTCGCCACACACGACAGTTATCAATACGCTAGAGAAAGGTCTTCGTCAGTTGCCGCATCAATCTCTTCAATCTCTTCAATGACATCAATTGCAGAATGTGTAGAACCGAACGCAATACGAGTACAATCAACACACACCCCATCGGTATTCCGCCCACATTCCAACTTCTCTGAGCATCTTCCATCAAATCCTGGATCACCCACCAAATCTGCGCAAAGCAACTACTCCCCACCTGCTTTATGCGCGTCGTCTTCTTCTCCCACAGCTAGTGCCATCTACTATGATCTAAATTCTGTCTCAAATACCGGTGAACTTAGTAATCTGCCAAATATCACAGAACAGGATGACATGTTTTTGGAAGCTTTTGCTGTCGCAGGGAGTACTAGTATTACACAGCTTGAGCGTGAACCGGATCTTCTGATAGGTAAATTCGACAGTATGTTCGGTGTTACAACTGATAATTCTGGATTGTTCAGAAATGAAGAGGATGTATTCTTTGGCAGCCCATGAGAGTGAATATTTTGGATACTTCCACCAACTCTTTTGGATCGAAGTTGTACATCATTGGGCATGGGATTTTGGGATGGGGCAAAATAGGATGGTTTTGGACAGGTGTAGGATTGGGGATATCTTTGGGTTGGGATTTGAATTGGATATCTATTCATTCCTTAGGCGTTATTTATATGTGATAGTCAGTTCAGAAATATGTGCAAATGCTCTCTAATTGATGTTTCAATTTGCTCCAAACTCCAATATCCATATACTGGACAAAATCAAAGCAACATATGAAAGGATCATGTCTTTAATGGCTCGTATCTATAATCTTTGTAGTAAGTGGGCCGAATCTCCTACTCGTATAAGTGTAGTAATTAATTCCACCTCAATATTCACACAGCTAGAGTAATACTTTCCTTCACGGCTGATCTATTTGTCTTTCATCGAATTCGTATATGAGTAGTAGTATAATCTTTCGGATTAAATATTCGAAAATTTGTATATTCTTTATTTAATATTCAGAGATTTATTATCTGAAATCAGAATAATGATATTCTACTTATAGTCTATAGAATATAGAAATAGCTTCAATTTTAACAAATTAAAATGTATAATAACGTTCTAGTATATAGTGACATTCGCTTACTTAAGCATAAGCGCCTTTATATTAAGCTTAAGAGAGGGCACCTATAATTAGAAAGTTATATGTTCATGTCTTGGTTAGTATCAAATGAGAAGTGACAGTATGGGGGTGTGGCTGAACCCCGCACCAATGGTGACACTAGGTACCTACCGAGTCAGTTCACCCTTGACTGATACAAGTTCCAACTTCAACCTTCTTTATAACAAGGGTCAACTGTCCTGAACAACAAATACAAACCCAGTCCCTCCAGCTTCACAAATTTTGACATAACAACAAATTTAGATGATGCGATCATGATGTCTTCTTTCATGGATTCTCCAAAAAGGAAACGAAATAATCTTCAGGCTCCGACTCCACCGGATTCCTCACCCATGCGCCTAGAGACATCAATTACTTTACCTACAATATCTCCTGAAGAAGCCAGTCAAGGTAGTCCACGGACAAAAGTGGCATATCACTTCCAGGATCTTGCCCTTGGTGGACCCACAGATACAAAGAAACTGGATCTAAAGAAGAAGACACAAGAAACAGCAAATGCTGAATCTACTGTGCGCAAAAGGGTAAATATGTTTACTGCAAAAGACGTGGATATGACTGGGAGCACAGTAACAGAAATTCCCGAGACACCACAAATAAAAGCATCTAGGGCTGTAAATGGAGAAGAAAGGAAAGTCGATCCGATTGTTCGGGAGTTGGGCAAGGATATTAGGTTGCATAATGAAGTTGATCCTATAATATTCAGAGCTGGGTTAAATGGTACAGAGGGAAAGGATGGTTTGGGAAGGGCATATCCATCAATCAATCGACTGGCTGATTCTAAGTCTCGGAAAAAGAAGAGGATGGGTACACCCCCATTGTCTAAAATTGGAGATGCTTTGGACGAAGAAAGGGAGATTATGGAACCGGATCGAGCAGCTTTGACATGGCACGACGATGAAATCACTGGTTATAAACCTGACGATCCAGATGATGATGGCGAGGGAATCAATGGGATTGGATTTCGGCCAACGCCTGCCATTGCTCATGCAAGGACACAAAAAAGGAAGCAACAAATGGCAGACTACATGAGTCGGGAAGCAAGGGAGGCTAGAGCTCGAAGAAGTGAGAGAAGAAGAGGAACAGAAGTGACGGAAATTGCTGCTGCTAGGGAGGCCGAGAATGTTGCCAGGAGAGTAAGGTTCATGGAGATTGATAACCCAGCTGTCATCTCAACATCTTGAGTATGTGATATTGGGTTCTCTCCTGGAGTTATATGGAAGTTAGGGGCTACAATATTTGGGTTATCGGTATAATTCAGGGTACGAATTGGGGGATATGATTGGTATACGGATGGGCGTTGGGGATATTTGCGCAAAGACAGTGGTCTCAACTATAAGTCTAGGAAATCATGCTAGCAAGCCCTTTGGACATTAAAGCGCAGTATTGAATGCTAATACATTATTTCGATGATTTTACTTCATTACCAAAACTTCCAATTTGATTTCTTGGCTGCTTCTTCGACCTTCTTATCTGCTTCCTCCTTCATCCTTCGCCTTTCTTTCCTCTTCTCTTCTGCTTGGGTTTCTTTCTCTATTTTCTTCCTATCAATGATCTCAACGGCACGCTTCATATGTGCATGTTCTAAACGCCTCTTGTACAAACAGAATTCATAGGCTCCAAATGCAGAGAACACAAAGGTCCCCACTGCCCAGTTCGCAGCTTTTGGTATCGGTGCTTTGATAAAGTGTTAGTATCCAGCTGTCCTAGCTCAGATTTCCATCTAATTGGAGTGACAAACCCCCAAATACAGCCCTGATTCCACCCATCGCAAAACCCCCACCAATTCCAGTAATAAAACTCTCCCTAGCACATGGATACATATGTACTTGCGCGAAATCCTGCCATCGTACCGTCTTAACCGCCGCTCCTAAGCTAGGTGTCTCTTTATGTGCACCCGCAGTATTCTGCCCCGAACCGTCTGGTAAAGCATTTGCATTCTCGGGTGGCGTATGGAATACTTCATATACTTTATTAGGAGTTTTGACGTGATCGGGTGGTGAGGTTGCCCCCGGTGGTGGACCTCGAGGGTTGGAATTTGAATCTCTTATATCGTCTGCCATTGTTGTATGATATGGATGTTGAATTTCTGTGGCGTGGTATATGAGTGAGGGGAGCTTTGTTCATTGATATCGATGAGATATAAAAATGCTGGTTACCGTAGAAGGCTGCCATATTTCTAGCCCAGCCTTGTTCACAAGGCTTAATTGAACTTTACACGACCACAACGCGCTATGTATATTTTTCGCGACCCGACGCGTTTCCCAATTTACGCTCTGCCACCAAAACATACTATCTTCAATCATAATTTCATGATTTGTCAACAGCCAAATTTTACACAATTCATGCCAACTTACCACTGAATTTCGAGAAAAATCGAATGATTCAAAGACTTCCGCTTAATCGCAAACAATTCTTTCACTAGACTTGTTGGATTCCTTCCCTATAATCAAGCAACTTCATCCCTTTCTCCTTGCCATTCTGACACCGCATATTCACCCACAACTATGCCATCACGCAAGCCACAAAATGGTTTCCGACGTGGGGGAAAGCAAGCGTATAACGGACCTCGGAAAGCCAAAACTTTTGAAAAGTCGTCGGGCAGAAACGAAGGTACATCTTTAGAAGAAAAGCAAGAAGCCGTCAAACTCGGCAACTCTATAGATGAAGCCATGGGGTTTCCACGGCACGAATCTGGCAAGAAAAAAGTTGGATGGCTAGTTAATATAAGGCCTACGACTATTGAGGACGAGAAACATTCGGAAGGTCGATCCGGAGTGGATTGCTACTTTATTGAGGATGATGGAGGAACTTTCAAAGCGACAGTTGAATACGAACCTTATTTTCTGGTCGCGGTAAAGAGGGGATATGAACCAGAAGCCGAGGAGTGGCTGAAGAGGGCGCCGGGAGGTGGAGTTCTGAAAAGTATAAAAAGAGTGGAAAAAGAGGATCTGTCGATGCCGAATCATCTACTGGGTTACAGGAGGAGTTTCTTTGAGTGCAGGTTTAGGAATGTGTCGGATCTACTGGCGGCTAGGAAGGATATCATGCCGGTGGCGGAGAAGAACAAGAAGAATATGAATGCAATGGATACTTATGCGGAGGTTGCCAGGTGAGTTTCTTGGTTATTGACAGAGTTTTAAGGGGAGGGCTGACCGGAAAATAGTGCAAATGCTGGATTCGACCTTTTTGACGACTCACGAGATGATGATAAACGACTTAATGTTTCTGTTGCCGAGGGCAGCGATTTTATTGTAGATATTAGGGAATGGGATGTACCATACCATGTACGAGTAATGATAGACCAAGGTTAGAGGAGAATATGAAGCTCCTAGACGTCCAAGCTGACGAGTTGCAGACATACGAACAGGAAAATGGTATTCGGTAGAGGCAAAACACGGTACGACGACTCTAAAATGCTTAGAAGACCGATTGGCGAGGGCCGATCCAGTAGTTATGGCATACGATATCGAAACGACGAAACTACCTCTGAAATTTCCGGATGCGACCATTGATCAGATTATGATGATATCGTACATGATAGATGGGCAAGGATTTCTGATCACGAACCGAGAAATTGTTTCCGAGGATATCGAGGACTTCGAGTATACACCTAAACCCGAATATGATGGACCTTTTATGATTTTTAATGAACCGGACGAAAAAGCTGTAATCGAACGTTTTTTCCTACATATTAAGGAAGCACGACCTACGGTAATAGCAACATACAATGGAGATTTCTTCGATTGGCCATTTGTGGATGCACGAGCTAGTGTCAATGGTATCGATATGTATCGGGAGATTGGATGGCGGAGGAGCCAAAGTGAGGATCAGTACACATGTGATTACAGTGTTCACATGGATTGTTTCGCCTGGGTCAATCGTGATAGTTATCTGCCTCAAGGAAGTCGAGGTTTGAAAGCTGTGACAACCGCTAAGCTCGGTTATGACCCGGATGAAATCGACCCGGAACTGATGTTGAGATATGCCAGCGAAAAACCTCAAACACTCGCAGAGTACTCTGTCTCTGATGCAGTAGCAACGTACTATTTGTACATGAAATATGTACATCCTTTCATTTTCTCTCTATGTACTATTATCCCTCTAGGGCCAGATGCTGTTTTGCGGAAAGGGACAGGAACCTTATGTGAGATGTTACTCATGGTACAGGCTTACCAAAAAGAAATTGTACTGCCTAATAAGCATGTATCACCAAAAGAATCGTTTTGGGAAGGCCATTTGCTAGAGTCAGAGACTTATGTTGGTGGACATGTCGAAAGTATTGAGGCTGGCGTATTTCGAGCTGACATACCCGTCAACTTTGCGGTCGATACCACCGCTATCGATGAGCTTCTTGATGACTTAGATGCTGCGTTAAAATTCAGTATCGAAGTAGAAGAGAAAAAATCACTTGATGATATCGATAATTATGAGGAAGTTAAACAACAAATCAAAGAACGCCTAATTAGCCTCAAGAAAACCGCAAATCGAAGCGAGAAACCCCTGATCTACCATTTAGATGTCGCTTCGATGTACCCCAACATCATGACGACGAATCGACTGCAACCCGATTCTATGATACAAGAGTCAGACTGTGCGGCATGCGACTTCAATCGACCTGGTAAAACGTGCGATCGAAGAATGCCTTGGGCTTGGAGGGGGGAATATCTTCCAGCGAAGAGAGACGAATATAACATGATCAGGCATTCGCTAGAAAATGAACGATTTCCAGGAAGATATCCAAATCAGCCGACCAGGACTTTTCAAGATCTTTCATATGACGAGCAAGCCACCCTGATACGAAAACGTTTACAAACCTACAGTCAAAAGATTTATCACAAGATTCACGAGCAGACCACCATCCAGCGGGAAGCGATTATCTGTCAAAGAGAGAATCCTTTCTACATTGACACAGTCAAGGACTTCAGAGATCGTCGATATGATTATAAGGGTAAGCAGAAAGTCTGGAAAGGCAAAACTGATGCTCTCAAATCCGCAGGAGCACCAGCTGCGGAGGTCGAAGATGCGAAGAAGATGATTGTGCTGTTCGATTCTTTACAATTAGCTCACAAAGTCATTCTGAACTCCTTCTACGGTTATGTGATGAGGAAAGGTTCGCGATGGTATTCCATGGAGATGGCTGGTGTCACTTGTTTGACCGGAGCTCACATCATTCAAATGGCTCGACAGTTAGTCGAACGAATTGGACGACCTCTAGAATTGGATACAGATGGTATTTGGTGTATGCTTCCAGCAACGTTTCCTGAAAATTATGCTTTCAAGATGAAAAATGGCAAGAAGCTTGCTATCTCGTACCCTTGTGTGATGTTGAATCATCTTGTCCACGACAAATTCACAAATGACCAATACCAAACTCTTACCGACTCAAAAACCTTCAAGTACGAGACGCATAGTGACAACTCCATTTTCTTCGAAGTCGATGGTCCATATCGTGCTATGATTCTGCCTACTTCTAAGGAAGAAGATAAGAATTTGAAGAAACGTTACGCCGTGTTCAACGACGACGGTAGTTTGGCGGAATTAAAGGGATTCGAGGTGAAGCGAAGAGGAGAGTTGAAACTCATTAAGATTTTCCAACAGCAGATCTTCAAGTTTTTCTTGGAGGGTACAACCCTTGAAGAAACGTACCAGGCAGTGGCGAAAGTCGCGAATCAATGGCTTGATGTACTGGAATCAAAAGGAAAAACTCTCGCTGATGTAGAACTCATCGACCTCATTTGCGAAAACAGAAGTATGTCGAAGAGTCTGGAGGAATACGGCACGCAAAAATCAACTTCGATCACCACTGCAAAGCGATTGGCAGAGTTCTTGGGGGAACAAATGGTGAAAGATAAAGGGTTGAATTGCAAGTACATCATTTGCGCGAAACCAAGACATGCGCCGGTGACGGAACGAGCTATCCCGGTTGCTATATTTTCGTCAGACATATCAGTGAAACGACATTTCTTGCGCAAATGGCTGAAAGATGATCCGGCAGACATGGATCCAAGATCGCTTTTGGATTGGGACTATTATACTGAACGTCTTGGTTCGGTCATCCAGAAACTTATTACCATCCCTGCAGCTCTTCAGAAATGTTCGAATCCTGTACCGAGAGTAGCACATCCAGATTGGTTGCAAAGAAGAATTCGAATCAAGGATGATAAGATGAAGCAAAAGAAAATGACTGATATGTTTACCAAGGCGCCTCTTGAGGATATATCAAACTTGCAAGACCCAAGAATGGCCGACATGGAGGATTTTGGGACACAACTTTTGAAGCCAAAAACCCTGGGTTCACAACTGAATGCAGCAGCACAGAAGCCGATGAAGAGAAAATCTCCTGAACCTGTGGTAGCAGTATCCATAAACCCCTTTGCGGCACTTCCTGACAAGATGCCATCACCGACCGAAGATTACGAGGGATTCTTGGAGTATCAAAAGCAGAAATGGAAGATCCAGAAACAAGCGCGGATACGACGCCGACATCTGTTTGGTGAGAACCGTGGCGCCCAAAGCAATATTGCGACAACTTTCCAGTATCAAGCTGAACAGCTGTTTAAGAGCACGTGGCAGGTGTTACAGTTGAGAGGCACTGAAAGTCCGGGTGTCGTCCTTGCGTTCGTCCTTATCGACTCGAAGGTACATACATTGAGAGTGAAGGTGCCGAGAACAGTATTTCTCAATTTGAAGGGCAAGGAATTACCAGACATTGAGATTGATGGTTGTGAAGCGGAGAAGGTTACCCATACACTGCCGAACGGTCATCCATCAGTCCATCTGTTTAAACTCACAATGTCTGAAGATGTCTATGTAAACGATGCACAAAAGATATCTTTACTTTTCAACCACCCGAGTGTGGAAGGAGTTTACGAAAAGCAAGTCCCACTCAACGTTCGTGCTGTCCTTCAACTAGGTAGCTTGTGTACCTTTGATGAAATCCAACCTGGTGTTCTCGGAAAAGGTCTTGAGCATGGGTTTGATTTATCTGGACTCCGTCGAGCCTCGCCAAAGAATCCATATCTATCACATTCACCGATGGCATATCTTTACCTCTACCATGTCATTGCTGGTGATAGACAGATTTTCGCACTTTTCTCGACTTCGAAAGAACAGGCACACGTTGTCATCCTACAAAAAGCCAAGGTCGCGGAACAGGAACTGCCAAATATTGCGAAAACTTATGCGGATTGCTTTGCCAAGCGCCATCAAGATGCTAATGGAGAAGTGTGGCAGAAATGTTTCGACTATCAGGAGAAGGTTCAATTCAAAATCAGCCAAGTTACGACAAGAAGAAAAGCATTACTCGAAGTTGGTGATCTGGTCAAGAAAATGAAGAACGATGAATCAAAGCCGCTCATGCTTGTCGTCCAATCTCCACAAAGAAGATTGCTCGTACACGACATACCTATACTTGGAGACTTGCCAATACTTCCCTTAAAGTCTGACATCCAAGATAGTAAACTTCCTCCTTTAAACTGGCAATCTGTCATTGCGAAGCGTTTGGTGAATCATTATCTAAGTCTTGGGGAATGGGTTATTCATTTAACTGAGCTCGCGAGGTATGGCGATGTGCCACTTTGCAACCTGGAGAGGGATGATCCTCGATTCCTGATCGATGTGGCCTATGCCAGAAGACTGCAAAAGAGCAATGTTGTTTTGTGGTGGTCTGCTGGTCCGAAGCCAGATCATGCTGGGTATGAACTGGATGATGTGCTTGGGGGTCTTGATACTGTGCAAATGCCATCGGTCAATAATCCTGGTACTTATCCATCGGTTTGTATTGAGCTTGATGTCAGAAATTTGGCTATCAATACCATTTTGACTTCCTCTTTGATCAACGAACTAGAGGGAAGCGACTCGATATCTTTCAATCCTGCAGCGCCATCAGATGATGCTCCTAGCGATGGTACCAATGTGCTCTACGCTGAGAATGCTTTCGCTACTGCCGGTGTTACAGTCCTACGAGAGATGGTCAAAGCGTGGTGGACTGAAGCTTGCAAGGGTAGCAGCATGGCAGATATCATGGTCCAGCATCTTGTACGATGGGTTGAAAATCCGGACTCGTTCCTGTACGATCGATCATTGCATTACTATGTACAAATGATGTCTCGAAAAGCATTTCAACAACTCATGACGGATTTCAGACGTGTCGGATCTCATGTTGTTTTCGCAAACTCAAATCGACTTTTGTTACAAACGACTAAAGCTGAAGTCGGAAATGCATATGCATACAGTCAATACATCCTCAAGTCAATCAAAGCCAAACCACTCTTTCATTTCTTAGACCTCGAAATCAAGGAGTATTGGGACTACCTAGTCTGGTACGACGAGTTCAATTATGGCGGTAAAGGCTGCTCAGAAGTCGTTGAAGCCGAAAACCAATCGCTGGATAATATCATGCATTGGCAACTAAGCAATTTTCTCCCCGACAAACTTCAACAGATCTTCAACGACTGGGTTCTAGAATTTATCGACATAATGCACGGTCTCAAGAAGCCACGCCTCGGTATCGATTCAACACCTCGAGCCACTCAACTCCCCGTTCGAAATCTGGGAGACGACAAGGAAGATAAGATCATTCTTGGCAAAAGTTTCGAGAAACCTCTGAAGAAACAAATCGCTGGTATCATTCGCAGACAAAAAGACGAAATGCTCCATCCCGAACTCGCAGAAGATTACAAATTTCCCGTTCTCCCTGGCTCGCATCTCAAACCTACGAATCCAGCGCTAGAACTTGTCAAGAGTCTCATGCAAGTGCTTTCTCTCGATAAAAACATCACACTCGAGGCACGATTATTGCGAAAAGAACTCTTGGAAATGTTTGAAATACGCGAATTTTCCAACCATGCTAAATTTCAAAATCCGTCCACCTCGGCCAGACTCTCCAGCGTCGTCTGCGACTCCTGCACTACATCGCGCGACATGGATTTTTGTCGCGATGAAGATTTACTACCGAATGGTGAGGGCAGCTGGAGTTGGAAATGTCTGTTCTGTAATCAGGAGTTTGAACATTTGGGGATTGAGGAGAGGATTATTGGGGAGGTCATGGGGGCGGTGGGGGAATGGACCGGCCAGGATTTAAAGTGTAAGAGGTGTGCGGGTCTAAAGGTTAATGATTTGAGGGCGGGGTGTGGGTGTGGAGGGGAGTGGGGGGAGAGTGTGGAGAGAGAGGGAGTGAGGAGGAGAGTGGAGGGGTGGGGGAGGGTGGCGAGTGCTTATGGGTTGAGGATGCTGGGGGCGGTTGTGGAGGAGGTTTTGGGGGGTTTGTAGGTGGGGATACTGGTTTGGGGCCGACTATGTGTTGGGGGTTTCTTTGGGGTATATATGCATCGCTTTTGGGGTCTTGCGAAGGATGGGTTGGAATGGGATGGGCTGGGTTGGTTTATAGGATATCTTCTGCATGGCGTTTCGTTTACTAATCGAATAGTTAAAGATTATTATCAAGTTCTCGGTGTTTCTTTTCCACTTCTCAGTCGTTATGTCAACATTATTCCTTTGGAAATTAAATTCATCAAGAGGTCTGTCAGAGATTTAGACCCCTAGTCATGGAAATGGGCTACAGAAAAGCTGCTTTACATTGATAACCATTTTGGTATTCAAAATGCCGAAAATGTTGCTCGAATTTTTGAGAGAAAAAGTCAAAAGGAATTCTTGGAGAGTATATGCTATGCTTGATAGCTATGTTTTTGGTATGTAAAATAATCGCAGGCATAGTTTAGTCCACATGTAAAAGGGAGATAAACTGCTAATCGTCGGCCAAAGTTCCTCCTTTTTATTATATAGAGCAGGGATCGGGTAATATGCAACCTACCCACTCGGCTCTGCACTTCTTATGGTCACCCACTCAATCTGGAATGATCAAAGTACCCTGGTCGGGGATGTTTCTTATACAAGATATAGATCCGATGCATTCATCTGCTACAGAATTTTGTCCTTGAAGCGAACCCCGTCTTTCAAGTCATATCGTTGCTACCTGCCTGTTCGAATGCAAACTACCCGCAAAAACTCGCGATCAAAGCATATCACCATCCTTAAATCCAGATCCATGCTTGAAAACATATTGGACGATTGTTCTTTTGAAAAGCACAGAAATAAAATCCGAATCTTCCTCACATCTGTTGATTGGTCTGTATTTTGGTACATTACTCAATCTAATGCCATTCCACTCAATGATCTTGGAAATATTCCGATCCTGGTCTTTTTGATGGAGTCATCATGGACTTTCGACTAGCTTTTATACCAGCACGAAGCGATAAAAGACAACGAATTAGCTAGAGCCTTTGTTAACAGACGACTCAATCCAACTTCGCGCTACTACCGCGTCTTCATCTCATTTAAGTATACGATGCCGCCACAGAATATCTCGGGGTTCAATTAGATTGACCAATCGCATTTGGCGAGCTCATCAATGCTACCTCGATATGGTTGATTGGGAAAATGTCCCGAGGAATTGCTGCGAAGGGTGCAAAGTCAACTGAGTGACATGATTTCAATTTCCGTAGATGGATATCACCGTCGACATGATGAAAAGGTATAAAGCATCATGTCCGATCTAAAATTGTAATATCATCCACAGCTTCACATGCTCGACTCGTTCTTTCACGGAAATTTGACAATTTGAGCGACAAGATTGGTCATGGCTACCATTAGTATTCTTGTGAGCCTAATTGGCTTCGTCGCGGCTCAGAATTTCATTAACGCGAATGTTACCTTAAAAACTACCGCCGTCATATCCCAGGGTGTTGTTGCGGGTATTGCCACTACTGTTCCAGGTATCACTTCACCTGTGTCTAAATTTCTTGGTATACCGTTTGCTGGACCACCTCAACGCTTCAGTCCTCCAATTGCACCAGGATTATTCACGAGCAACCCATACAATGCCACGCAGCTCAAGGCATCGTGTATTCAACAATTCTCCTGTAAGTAGTATATTTCTCTTGGTACCAAGAACTTCCCTGACCTTCTGTAGATCCGGATGCTGCTCGGGCTTTCACTATGGCGCTCTTTGATAATCCACCACCTGCATCAGAGAGCGAGGATTGTTTGTATCTAAATGTATATGCTCCATCTAGAGCTACTCCAGATTCATTACTTCCTGTGATGGTGTGGATTTATGGTGGTAATTTCAACTTTGGATCAGCATCATCCCCATCCTATGATGGTAGCAATATAGCTGGGAAGCGGAATATGATTGTGGTGACTTTCAACTACCGAACTAATGGTAATTATATTCCCGTCGTCTTCAGTCCTCAAATCGATATCGAAATCGCGCGATTTCTAACTAGACTCAGTTTTTGGCTTCCCAAACTCCCCTGAATTACCCACCATAGGCCAGAATCTAGGACTTCTCGACCAACGATCAGCATTAGCTTGGATCCAAACCAACGTCCCAGCATTTGGCGGTGATCCCCTCAAGGTAACCATATTCGGTGAATCCGCTGGCGCACTTTCTGTAGATGCTCTCGTCACCAGTTATCCGACCCTTCCCCCATTCCGCGCAGCAATCATGCAATCTGGTCAAGATAGCATTCGAACCATGACCGCTACGCCCAGATCATCAGGTATTGATACTGGTGTCCTATCTTGGAACGCTCTCACATCTGGTCTTGGTTGTTCCAATACCAGTAGTGCACTTGCTTGTGTACGAGCTGCTGATGCACTTACTATCAAATCGTTCATCGAACATGCTAGTTTATCGTTCCAACCGGTGGTGGATAACATAACACGAGTTTCTGATCCGCAGTCTAGGAGAGCAAATCATCAAATCGCAAATGTACCGATACTTATCGGTTCGAATGCTCAAGAGGGTACTGCTTTCGTATATGGACAAAGTAACATAACAGCAGCTGTAAAAGTAATATTCCCAACCAACACACTCCTTCAGACTGAAACTCTCGCTGCGTACTCTGTTGGTCAAGATGGATTAAACACACCCTTCGATGTTATCGCAAAGATCTACACCGACTCAATATTCCAATGCGTAGGTTTCTCATCTCCTTCCTTCCCCCATACCTGTATCTTGTCCCCAGCCCACTAAAACCAAAACTCCATCTTCCAGCCCGCCGGTATCCTCGCCAACTCAAGCTCCGCCGCCTCCTACCCAACCTATCGCTACTTCTACAACGCAACTTTCCCCAACATCCAAACATTCCCCAATCTCGGCGCCTACCACTCCTCGGAAATCTCACTCGTCTTCGGCAACTTACTCGCAAATGCTACTCCAGCGGAGATAAACCTCAGTGCCTTGATGCAAAAATCCTGGACGGATTTCACTAAAACCCCTCAAGTGGGTCCAGGGTGGAAGAAATTCGATGTTCATCGAGGTGTCAATGATGTTGCTGTGTTTAATGTGAATGGGCTGGGGAGTGTCAGTGGAGGGATATTGAATAAGCGGTGTACGGTTTTTGCATATGATTCGAATTTAGGGAAGTAATTATAGAAGGAAATGGATGCGATGATGCATTGCATGAATATATCGTTTTTGGACAGGGATTCTGCTTTGGATGTGTGCTGGAACAGCGAGTGATGTAGTGTCACGGTACGCAATTTACTAGTGGCTTGGCTGGGCTCACAACTCGCACTTATACATGCATATACCCACAGGTGAGACAAAAATATTGATACTATACTATATTGAAAAATTGGTATTAGTACAGCCGTATATCGTAAGCAAAGTTCCCCCAACTATGAGTTCTCACCTCTTTTAATTCTCTCCTATACTCGAGTTTACTACTAATGATTAGAGAACCGTATCATTATTCTGACCCTCCTTTTATGGCTATAGAGAGCTTATCTACTCGTACATATACTCGAGTATATATACCCAGAGTATAGTAATCCTGGATCTGAAATGCATTCATACTTTTCACAGAGTACTGTATTAATATCAAAATCAGAATCGCTAACGCAAAGAATACCCGCTTACTCTACTCTACTCTATACAATCAGTACCATACAACTAGTACACCACCCAAAACGCGTGAAACTACCAGTACTCACCTCACTCGTGCATCTTTTTCTTCAAGTTCCTTTAGTAAATTATTCTAGAATACGAGCACAAGCACAAGCATGAGCACAAGTATAAGCACAAGTAACCTTACGAGTACGAGTATGAGTACAAGAAAACAAACACCGGTACCGGTACAATTGGGGAACTCCGGATACTTTTCTATCGTATCGGGCTCTGTGAGATGAGTACGAGTATGTATTAGATTAGAGGCTCCAGGTTTCAGATGCGAGTTTGTCGGTATTGTATACCGGTATTTTAATTTAATTTATTGTATTGTCTGACTCTAGAATCGGGGCGCGGCGTGGGGTGGATTGTGACGATGTTGAGGTTGATGATGCTGGAATGATATGCACCGTGACAAATACTCGTACACACGTAAAGATTATTTCGCAGGAACGGATGGTTTAAGTTTGTAGAATCGTATTGACGTATTTAGTTGTAGAAAGATTCAAATCATATATTTTTCTCGCAAATTTCAAGAAGTTACTCTCCTTTGAATAATAATAAGCCTCTATTATAGAATCGCTCAGCTGATCTATTATCTATCGGTTAATTATATATATAAAGTAATTGTGTTCAAGCTTAAAAGCTTTGAAGAGCTAAGAGCTGCTGTAAGGTTCAGCAGCACAATGTATAAACATTAATCGACAAGAAAGTGGATGTGGAGTGAGTGAGACAAGATGAAACATGCGGGATATATTTATTGTAGATATCATTGTACTCGAGTAGGGCTGAAAAGTAACTACATCAGCTTTGGCACAAGGCGCAAGGTAAGATCTTGATCTATACAACAATTCCTGGTTTTCAGGTGAATCTTTTATCTCGCTTGTCGCTCTACTCTTATATGTGCTATAGTATAGAGTTTTAACTTTAGAAAAAGGGAGATGAAGGGGCTGTTTTATATTTTCTTCGCTAAACGTGACCCTAATAAACTGGACATTGCAAATGGCATAAATATACAAATACGCATCACTGGATACTCTTCTTCTCAAATTCACAAATTAAATAGCCTTACAATTACTGAACAATATTTTCGATCCCACGACTTCAATTCTTTCAAAAACCAAAGCCCCAAACCCCAAAACCCAAAGCCACAGTGGGATAATTAATATATCTCACACGGCATAAGATCTTCTATCTAGGCTTGTAGAACCGAAGCAGCGCCAAGCTGGAACGCCAAAAAGGCGTAGATGCTGGAGTAGATCCGATTTGGGCGTGCAGTATGCAGTTTGCATGAATTTAAGGGTGATAATGGGGGCCAGGTTGACTCCAGGTTTCTATACAGATCTGGGACCTGATTCTTGCCGCTGAGAATCTCCGGGATCGGGCGCAAGTGATTTGTGAGTAATTCTATTAAAAATTGATCTTCTATTGTAGATGGCTTGGCTTGAATTTTGTTGGATAAGATGTCGTTTAATGTTTCCCCTCAATTGCTAACTTTTGATATAATGTATGTTCAGCTATATCCACATATATGAATCAATAACATGCAAACCCATCCGATTCCCGGATACCTTTTGGGGAAGAAATTTAGTCCTATGATCGGTCTGTCTTTTTGGAGTTAGATTTAAAATGACGTGTATATATAATACACTCGATATACTCGATATACTCCACATATACATGCAGTATACAAGCCTTGGAATAAGCTTTAGCCTTTGTGGCGCCACGATGTAATGCGATGCTCTCGAGTCTGAACATATTATAATGAAAATAGTATCTCCTTATATTTGTAGGATATCACATTACTCGTAGTATTTAGTATTTTCAGTATCGATATCTATATATCATCTTGACATTCGACACTTTAGAAGTAACGAGTTAGGAGTTGCAGAGAAATATTCAATGTCAAATATCGTGGAGAAAGGAATACTGGTACACTATAATTTTTCAAAAAGAGCTATTTCACTCACTCCATGATATAAGGATTACTAGCCAGTCTTGCAGCCCCAACATACTCACTCATATACTCATATAAGCAAAGTAACTAATTCTATACTCTGTTTCCATACCATACTATACATACATCATTCATCTCACCGTTTGAAACCCAATACTTGCATCAAACCCAACCCAAACCCAAATCCAACCCCTCCCCCTCCGACTGACCACTGACCCTTGACCATCAACAACTCCAATTCGCTCATTACTTCATCCATCCATCCATCCAACAACAAAACAACATTACCACATAACCTACATTACGTGACATAACATTCATTACAAACACCAACTCGTAATTCAAAACCCATTACCAAGCATAGAGCAGAATACGAGCCGGTGCAACCTGCACTTTCGTATTTATTACACAAGGAAGTGAAAATCCGGACGTTAGACAGCACATATCACATACATATATTACATACATACAGCATATACATGCATGCATGTGATTTTCACTCGGGATTCGGAACGAGCCGGGTGATGTGATGTGATATGACATGCTGTGCATAGCATAGCATAGCATATGTGAGGTACGGGCGCTACTGTACTACTCTAATGTAAGTAAGTGAAAATATGCCATGCACAGCTGTTTTCAATGAACATTGCTATGTACGATGATGATGTATGAATACGAGGGAAAATGGAAAGTTTTTTAAAAAAAAACTAGTTCGATTTTACTGAGCTGATCATGTAGATACTACTGTAGATAAACTCCTAATGGAAAATGAGAGCAAATTGAGAAATTGCATAGCCGCCCGCCAACCCGCCTTGTATCGTGACCCCATAAATAACTCTATCGTTTGAAGAACCGGAGGGATATCATATCTCTAGTAATATTGATATCTCAGATTTGGATAACCCCAGACAAAGAAAAGAAAAGAGATGAAATAAATCAAGTAATGTGAAAATGAAAATGAAAATGAAAATGAAACCGAACAGAACAAAAATGCATCAATGTTCTCAAAGAAATTAAACAATTACTCCTCCCTTCGCGGTACAAGTTGCGATTACTGAGGCGGGTGTTGCAGTCTTTGTGATTGTGATACTAGAAGAAAAGTGACGTTAGCGAAATAGTATCAATTGAGGAGAGTTCTCTCAAAAATAAGAGTTCACGCAGTGAAATATAAACATACTTGTTGGTGATTGTCGATGTGACAGTTGTGACGGTGGAAGTCCGGATTGTCTTTGTTGTTGTAGGTGTTGGTGCTGTTATGGTCGCAGTAGTCACTCCACTGCGGACTGTGACTGGTGCCGGGGTCCTATAGGTTTGTTAGATCTGGAACATATCTTAAGAAAGGGGGGTATTCTTACACGGTGCTAGTTATGGTTGAGGTGGCTAAATAGGTGATTTGTGTTAGCAAATGTTGATATATGTTAATCAGGATTGAAAGGTTTCTTCCTTACCCGTGCTGTAGAAAGTTGTGGTAGTAGTAGTGGTGGTAACGGTGGATGTCTTCCAATCAGATGTGGTTGTGTCGGTTATTGTCGTGGTTGGAATATCTGGAGCACGCTTCTTGAGCTTCTTCTCGAGGTGACGTCCAACAGCACGACGTCCAAGGATATTAGCAACGTCAACAGTAACGTCACGATTGTTGATATTGGCTCTTGGAGCTGGAGTGATGATAGCAGCAGCTGGTCCCGGTATGCCAGTGCGTTTAACGGGGGAATCAGATGTGACGCTTTGAGCCAATGCGAGGTAATGTTGGTTTGGGAATGGGTCCTTGGTGGTGGGTTTAGGAGGAACTTTACATGATGCTGTCTTGGTGGTGGTAATAATGGGGAAGGTATATTTTCGAGAAGTGATGGTTCGCGTAGATGTAGTAGTGGTCGTCGTTGTAACTTTTGGGGGTGTAATTGTGACTGTGTTATTTGCGGTGGCTGAGGGTGCAGTAATCGTAACAGCAGGAATCGTAGTTGAACTAACTTCCGTGGTTGTTGTGGGCAAAGTTGTCGACGGTGTTACCACACTCGTGATATTCACTAAAAACGTCAAATTAGAAGGGTTGGTATTCAAAGGTGTTAGAATTGATCACCTGTTGGAGTATATATAACTGTAGCCTGAGGTCCAACTAGAAGATCAAACGTTCTTTGGGCAGCGAAAGAAGAACTATTTCCATTATTGCCCAAGATTACAATAGTCCATTTTCCACTATACATCTCGTTTTTCAAAAGAGGACTGGCAAAGGTCAGTAACTGTTTCAAAGATTGGAGATTTGGTAAATGATATTTACCATGTTGAAAGCATATTGGTGTTGTCAGGCTGGGTGGAGATGTCGCTACACAACCAAGAATTCTCATCAGGACCAACAAGAATTACATCAGCAATGCCAGTACATCCCACAAACTGCGTGACGCTGGTGAAGTTGGAGGTATCTTCACTGTTGATGAAATAACTAGCTCCATTTTGAAAGTCAATACCATATGATGCACAATCTGCCTTAGCATATGTCAAGATAGAGGTCAATACAACGAAAGTGTAGGAGAGATGAACAATGGAAGAAAACATGATGAAAGAGATAAATGATGGTAAGTGATGAGGATGGAGGAAGTGATTTACAATAAGGTTCGCGAGGTCAATATAGCAATATAAATTTCGATGATGCTCCCTCATGTGAACTAGATAGACTGGATTAGAGCTGCACCGCTCATATCGCCGAGCCAGTCCAAAAAAAGAAACATGCCGCAGCTACACGGATAGAAACGTAGACACGCGGAAAACTTTACAGGTTTGTCCGACGCCATCTAGAATATTGACTGATTCTATCTGACAGCGTAAGAATGATCATTGATAGAGAAATTGAATTCCGTTTCCAGCTTTCTAATTTACACTATAGCCCAAGCAACAAACGGAACAAATAGACTATAAGGAAGAATCTTGATTGGCTTGATTGTTCCAATTCATCTTGTCAGACACGAGGAAGTGGAGCGATGGATGTGGAGAGAGCCTAGAGATTGTAGCAAGAGAAAGGATGAATACGAAGAATGATGTGTGCTGACAGTGACTGGCACGATACTTCGAAGCTACTGTACGGTACAAGTAACGTGAGATGACCAGGTATCCCCGACTATCTCTCCTTGTATTAGGATGCAAACAAAAGCCACAATGATCACCTTTGCAGCTCTGCTAATTTTCGGTATCGGATGTTGGGATGAGTATGCCATGCATGTATCTTTGCATTTTCTTGATGTTGAGATCTGAAGCCAACCCCGATAACCATGCCGCATCACCGCACTTGCTGGATGCTCGGCATTGCTGCTGAACTATGAGCGGTCCAGTGAAGATGTTTCTGTAATGCTGAGCCGCATATTCAGTTTCTTCTAAAGTATTGCGCCGTTTCGTGGCTAATCAAACACGATCGAGGTAAGGAAAATGGTAAAATACAAGACTCCAACCCTAGCTAGAAGAGAAGATACTGATGCCACGTGCAATGATAGCCCGAAGACTAAGCAAATAAATAAACGAGCCGCTGTTGTGGCTCACTGTGCTGTCATGAAATCAAGACTATTTTAGACATTTCATGACTTTGGGTCGTTTCGTATTCTTCTTTAACCGCCGGCTGGTTCCGGATCATAAATTTGGTGTAATCCGGTTGTTAAATAAACGTAAAAAATAAACCCTTTAGGCTTAGTTTTAGACTAGTGTCACTAATTTTCCAATGATTTACAAGGTTCCTTGAATGTCTTAGTAAGCCGACTATAGTACCACGACATCCTCAATATCGATCTTGGGTTATACAACATAGAACATCTATTCCATGAAGAAGGATCTCACCCGAACATCTCAGCCTCGCGCATATGAATGTGAAGAAACCTGGTCTCGGCATAAGACCACTATGATTCCTCCTGTGCGGTATCTTCGGGACCTGAAAGCATACGTATGCCAATAATCGTGTGAGATGCAATTGTTGCTATTGTTATCATATTTTCCCGAAGAATCTCGAGTGTGGAAGATCGGGCGAATCTTGGCACGCCACCAAAGTAACTACAGTATTGTCCGAGGGCTGACAGCACATGTACCATGCTGCCGTGCCTAGCTCTTTCACTCAGTTCAATATCCCAAACCAAGCATCAAGTCTTATCATTCAGAGTTTTGAGGATTGGTATCATGTAAAGTGTACACACACTTCCTTCAAATGATTCCGACTTAGGAATCTTGATTTGAGTCAACAAATCAGACGATCGGACTATGGATTTCTTTTCAGCTCAAAACCACATGATCTTTAGTCATTGGGTGTTCTATCCCGAGATTCATGCAAGCCACGAAGTTTCTTTCATACAGAGCCGTGTGATAGCATGTAAGGTTGCATTGTGATGGCTGCTTCACCTGCTTGTCATTCGAGCCTCGCCCTCGTGTGAGAGACGGCATCATGGCCTCGTTTGCAACACGGAAAATCTGGAGAAATCAGCCTGATGGTGGAAAGAAATGTCCGGGCGGTAATCTAACAAGATAAATACATCAAGTCTCACTTGACTGAGCCATTTATTACTCTCTTCAGATCAATTCTATCAAATTTCTTTCTCTAATTTGCTCAAGATGAAGCTTTTAAATATTCTTCTTTTGTCTTCCCTTGCCGTTGGAGCTATCATCCCAGGTCCAATCGATGAACGTGATGGTCTAGTAGCACGGCAAGCGTCTTCTACTACCAGTAAGACAAGCACATCTTCAACAAAGTCAAGCAGCACCTCAAAGGCTACAAGCTCGTCAACTTCCAAGTCATCATCAGCTGGCTCATCATCTTCCAAATCTTCATCAGTTGGCTCCTCATCAGCTGGCTCATCATCTTCAAAGTCTTCATCAGTTGGCTCATCATCAGTTGACTCATCGTCAGTTGGCTCATCGTCAGTTGGCTCATCATCTTCAAAGGCTTCAACAACTTCGTCAGGTTCATCTGTCTCTGGCGGCTCCTCCACAGTCTCAAGTTCAACCTCCACGTCTGCTATCTCTAGCTTGGTTGCCGATCCTGCTTGTACAAATTCGCCCTTCACCAGGGCTTGCTGGGGGAATGGCTTCAGTATTGCAACTGATTTTGATACCAAAAATCCTACTACTGGTGTGACTCGAAAGTACAATCTGGAAATGACCAATACGACATGCGCTCCAGATGGAGTCACCCGCCAGGCCTGCATGTTGATCAATGGTAAAATTCCTGGTCCAACCATATATGCTGACGTAAGGCTTACACTGTAACTGCCCATGAAACGTGCAATTAGCTGACAAACCTTTAGTGGGGTGATATGATCCAAGTCACTGTGAAGAACTCTCTTCAAGACAACGGTACCGGTATCCATTGGCATGGCGTTCGTCAGTACCACACATGTACCGAAGATGGTGTACCAGGAATCACCGAATGTCCACTTGCTCCCGGAGACACCAAAGTATACACCTTCCAAGCGACCCAGTTCGGCACGAGCTGGTATCACAGTCATTTCTCTGGCCAATATGGCGAAGGTACCCTCGGCGGTATTGTGATCAATGGACCCGCTAGTGCCAATTACGATATTGACCTTGGAACCTACATGGTCCAAGATTGGTATTATACACCGATATTCGCACTCGAAGATAGAGTAGCCCATTCACAAGTTGGACCGCCACCAGGTGACAATGGACTCATCAATGGTAGCATGGTTGCGCCTAGCGGTCAAACTGGTGGAAAATATACCACAAACACCATCACCTCAGGCAAAAAATACCGTCTCCGTCTCATCAATACTTCAGTTGACAATCATTTCATGGTCTCATTGGACAGTCATTCATTCACAGTGATTACATCTGACTTCGTGCCCATCCAACCATACACTACCAACTGGATCTTTATCGGAATCGGCCAGCGATACGATGTCATAATCAATGCCAACCAAACAGTCGGAAGCTACTGGTTCCGAGCTGAAGTTCAAAACGGATGTGGTATCAACAATAATAATGGAAACATCAAAAGTATTTTCACCTACGCCGGAGCATCAAACGGCACCATTCCATCATCCACAGCCACACCCTACACCCAACGCTGCACCGACGAAACAGGACTTATCCCCTTCTGGGACAGTTTTGTGCCCAACGGGCCCCTCACCACCAACGTCGACCAGCTCAACGTCGCCGTCGACATTGGCGTCACCGCCGACGGACCAATCGTCAAATGGGGCATCAACCTCACCGCGCTCGATGTCGACTGGAAAAAGCCCATCCTCCAATACGTCCTCGATGGCAACAATTCCTGGCCCGCATCCGAGAATCTCATCTCGTTACCCAATGCCGGTCAATGGTATTATTGGATCATCCAAGAAGTTGCCGGAGTCGTCAATGGAAATCCCGTCTCCGTTAATGTTCCCCATCCAATGCATTTACACGGTCACGATTTCTTCGTTCTAGGCACAGGAGTCGGCACCTACAATAACACCATTAACGCACCAAACCTCGATTACGATAATCCGACCAGAAGAGATGTCGCCATGTTGCCCGCAGGTGGATGGCTTGTGCTAGCTTTCCAGACGGATAATCCCGGTGCTTGGTTGATGCATTGTCATATTGTAAGTCTTTTCTTTCCACTCACAATCCCAATCACAACCCTATTCCTATTCCCATTTCTATTCCTAACACACCAACCCCAGGGCTGGCATGCCAGCGGCGGTCTCGCCGTGCAATTCCTCGAATCCCAAAATCAAATTAACAGCGTAAACCCCATTTCGCCCGCCCTAACCAACACGTGCAATAAATGGAACGCGTGGTATCCATCTCAAGCTCCATATGCAAAGACCGATTCGGGTATTTGAGCTTGGAGCCAGGAGCTAGGAGCTGATAGATAGATTCTTTGATTGGGAGGGATCTTTTGAATGAGGGGGCGTTGCGTTGTTTTGCGTTTGTTTGGGTTTCTGTCATATTGTATTACAGTAGATTACTGAATACATTACATTACACATCTTTCGTTTAAGAATTCACTCGCCCGCTCACTTACTTGCGCGTTTTTTTTCGGCGGGAATACATACTTTGTCTTGATCTTCTTGATCTTGATCTTGGATTTAAATTAGATTTAAACAGCTCAATATTTACGTAACGTAACGTAACTATCACTTGCTTTGCGTTGCTTGCCTTTGCTTTACTTTACTTTGCTTCGCGTTACTTGTATGTATATACTCGTACATATGTATGAATCTAGCTAAAAAATAACAAATGTAGGAAAAGAAGGGAGTATGTACTCGAGTATTTAAATTCAACCAAAGCTAAAGCGCCAAATACACCACATGAGAAAGAATACTCATGACGCTCAGTTTCTAACTGAATCTATTGATTATATATAAAAGGGCTTGAAGCCCTATAATCGTACATATTATTTGTATCAAGAAACGTTTGACTATAACTGTATATTCTTCGACGAGCTCCGAGAGGTAGTATAGTCCTAAGGCTATATTATATATCAGAACCAATATTGGTATATATATACACATGTAAGATAACATTATCAAGTAGAATACACGAGTACGTTCCTAGAAACTCATACTCAAGATAGATGAACTTACCAATAGCAGTAGTAAAGAAGCCAAACCCAACTGTCACACCCAGTTATCCGATAACTGGTAATATCCACAGATTGATACTGTTCATTTGATTTCATTTTAAATTCTCATCTACTGTATGAGTTTAAAACTACTGTATGTATCAACCACACGCGTTATGACGATACGATACGATAATAACATCTTTGTTATTTCTACCGCCTAACCTCCGTTGTCGTTTCGATGTTTAGTTGACTTTTACACATTCGGTTACCCCCACCCCAACTTCGACCATCCACCCACCCACCCACTACTCAGCATACATGGCAAACACTAACGTCACCGATTGCTTATATTATGACTCAATGGCCGCCATGCGCCATAACCACCCGTCCATCCATCCGTCTTGAACTTGTGGCATTTTCAGTATGATATATGGATTGATATAAAAAGAGTTTTCCAAACAACCAATCTCTACATCCCCTCCACTTTCCACCCCGCACTTTCCCAACAAAATCTAACATCCATTTAGTCCCTATCAAGCGCCTCCAACTCCGCTTGGACTGTCCCCTTCGTAGCAATCTTCTTAACTTGCGTATCTTCCAACTTCTCTCCTCCAGCTCTCCTCATCTCCAAATCCTCAATTGCTCTGATCTTCTTCTGTAATCCTCTCTTCTTCTTAGCCGATGGACTACCATCACCACCTGGGCTGGTGACTGACAGCTCTGGGGTTGCGAATTGTTGAGTTGGAGTGATTGGGTTTTGGTTCGAGTTGATTGAAAGATTCTTTATTCCACCTAGGGTACCCGCACCTCCGTTAGGAGATGCACCTCCGTTTTGGCGTTGGTTTTGATGGGGGTGAGGGTGAGGGTGTTGGTGGAGGTTGTGAGGGCCACCGTTACCGTGAGTACGGGGTTGAGATGGAGAACGTATGTTGTTGTTAGTCTTTGAGCGACTACGTTGACGATCTCTTCGGTCTGGGCTACCACCTGGACCTCTTGGTGCATCTGAAGTTCCAGCGCCAAGACCACCTGATTTGGCTTCTGCGTCTTTTGCCTTCTTTGCTTCGCGCTTCTTCTTGTTCTTGAGTGCGGCTTTGGAAAGATTTTCATCTTCGGCAGCACCTGAAACGCCCGGTGTAGCTCCTGGGACAGAGTTATCGGTTAAATCAGCACCAGGAACTTGTCTACGAGATCGACCGAATCCGTTGGTGTTGACCATGGATGTACCATTGCTAACGATATGAGCAGAACCACCCTCGTCTTCACGCTTGAAGTGAGATGGTGTAGCCGAGCCACGTGCTCCGGGAGGACGATAAGCACCTGCTGGCTTGGATGGGGTCTTCACCGTACCCAAGTAAGCGACAGCCGATGGGTGCGATTGAGGAATTGGACTCAAAAAATCTCCAGCCGGGAAGCTTTCGGGGCGTTGTGGTCTCCATGTGACATTGTATAATTCAACCATATCCTCGTTATACATAATTCCACCTGTGACGTGCCATAATCGAACACCGTTATCAACTCTCAATCTAGGACTGGTTGTAGCAGTTAAGATATACTTGCTATCAGGACTCCACTCGCAAACACTGGGATTTCCACCTTCAATTGTGCAAACCTTCTTGTAATCCTTTTCGATGTCGTAGATATCCATTTGACCGGCTAAGTTTCCGAAACCGGCTACCAAAACAAATCGACCAGTAGGAGAAAACAAAATCGTGTTGCGGGGACCGAGTTGAAATGTATGAGTTGCAACAGCTCTTTGGTTAAAGATAGTTGTCTTCGCTGGCATGTATCCGTAAATGACACCGAATTCTTTCGAGTTTGGTGACCATGAAACATCGTGAATTGGGCCCTCCTTATCAAGAGTGATTCTAGAATCGAATCCACCATTTGCGCTCAACACATATAGCGTAGTCTCTCCATAATAACTCTTGTTCGACTTGTCAACATCTGTTGTCGCGAGAACGATCAAGGTTGTACCCAATTGATTCCATTTCAATTGAACTTTGTCGCCTTTGAAAAAAGTCTTTTGTGAAACTGGGGCATCGAACTGAGGAACGTTGTAAACTTTGACGGCAGATGGTTGTCCCTGATTTGTTTTATTAGCTAAATCGTCACCTATAGATCTAGAATTATACATACCTTACGCTCTGGAACGAAGACTGCCACAGAATAATTGTTGCCGGGAGAAACTGCAAAATCTGCCACACCTTCTACACAAAGCTTACGCCAAACTGTACGCAAATCGCCGCTCTCGTAGAATTGAATCTCATTTGTGACATTTCGGGCGCAATATTTTTCATCGAAAGTGTATTGAAGGTTCCAATTGGTTTGCGACTTCTGCACAAATCTCCCTACGACCTCCTTCTCCGAACCCTCCGGTACATCCTCCACGGTACACCAAATCTTCAAATTCTTGACCGCATCTCCATTGTCATCCTTCGAAGGTCGCTCCCAGGTAATGATGAATGTGCCGCGAGGAGAGAAGCCCAATTCGTAGACATTTGGCGTGGGAAGGCTAGTAATGACGTTTCCAGCAAACGTATCAACGACAATCACTCCGTCATTGGAAGCCCAAGCAAAGTACCGACCGCATGGCGAGTAGGTACAGCATCGAGAGTTACCTTCGGGTCTTTGGAAACCAGGCAAAGGTTCATAGACGGGCACGGCATCCAAGATACCAATCCCCTTCAGTGTTCTGTATGCAAACTGTGTCGGAATCGCCATGGCTAATGAAAGTCACAGTAAAATTCTTTTTCGGTAACAGATTGTGTGTATTGTAAAATCTTCTTTTTTGTCGTACGGAATGTGGTGAGAAATTTGACTCGAGGTGTCTTGAAGGTCGAGACTAGATCCTATTTAAAGGGAGGTTGTCTTGATGAAGATGAATCGAATGAGTTCTTCGAAAATCTCGAAAATGATGTTGTTTTCCTTGTGGGTGGGTGGGCGGTGACTGGTGGGTGAACTTCGAGCGAAAAAATTGTGGAGAATTGGAGAAAGAACAAAAGGGCTTTCTGTTGGTTAAAAACAGATGATTCAGAATTTATTCTTATTCTTTTTCTTTTCAAAAATTCCCTTTCAATTTCTTTTCAATAGATCGACCGTACGATGAAGAAGAAGATAATTTTTATAAATTGAGTGTAGAATTGTCTTGACACTGATGGAGGGGTTTCGGGAGAGTACCGTTGAAATTGAGCGTGTGTAGGAGAAGAAGAGGGAAAGAAATAAAAAAATGAAGGTGGGAAGATGTTTTGTATTCTTTGTCGCAAGTTACTAGTTACTGTACTGTATTAGTTTGTCGCTTGCGCTAAGGCTGAATAAGAATGGGTGATGGGTGATGGGTGATGGGTGATGGGTGATAGGGTTGTAGGTTGTGGGTTGTGGGTTGTGGGTGAATTAGTGAACTAGTTACCGGTAAGTATAGTACTACTACTACAGTATAGAAACTTAGGGTTGATCTATAAGCAGTTTTGATTGACTATCAGTTTAGAGAAGATTAGACCAGCAAGTAGTAACAAGTGATGGGTTTGATATCATTATTTGGGATATCATTTTTATATATAGGTCAGGGCTATGCTATATATAGCTACTAGTAGTTGTAATACATACCACCCACATTCACTCATATCATTAGTATTTTCTCGTTATTATTCACAGACCCCCCCCCCCCCCTTCATTGATTCATATTCACATACATAGTCACAACTACACCATTACAACCATATACATTTTCATTTAAATGATTAATCATTCACACTTCATCCATATTGCTCATCCATATTACTCATATGAACCCTCTTCTCTTCCTTTCTAAAATTAACCTACCACTCAGTCTCCATCACTATTACTGTAGGTACCGATATATTATCATTATTTTTCATTACCGATGTTTAGCAGTTGTGATACTGTAGCTACCCGGTATTTTAGCGGATCCATAAGGCTGACAATACCGATATAATACCAATCTAGAACAGTACACAGAATTGGTGGCTGATCACCTACCTGCACCCGTTTCTTATACATGATCATCTATTTCGAGGGCTAGACGGGTCTTAGATTGTGATCTAAGATTTGAAATTTTAACAAGTATTCGATATGAAGAATGTTCTAAATCTCTTCAGACTTTCGTGTCAATTTTGCCGGCCACCTTGTCTAATAATTCTAGGTGTTCAAACATTATTCTATAATTTTTCCATCTTTGACTCGAGTATTATCCACAACCTATTCATCCACCCAAGGTCTTACCATTATTCCCCATTATATACTTTGTTTCATCCAAGCTTTTCCAATTATCACTTTTCTTCTGCCCCCGTCGTAACATCGTTTCCCTTTTCCATATCCATATCCCTATCCCTAGTATCATTCATTACCCCTCCCTTTGCCGCATCTAACGCAGCTTTCTTCTCCTTCTTTCTTCTTGCTCCCGCAGCTCTCGCGTCATTTCTCTCCTGCTCCTCTCTCATCTGTTGGATCAATGGACTCTTGGCTCGAATTCTCGATCCCCATTTATAGAAAATGAAGGGAATGGGAATGAGGAAGACTTGTACTAACCCCAACAGAGTTCCAGCCCATTGTGGTGTAAGCGTCGTGTACATCGCTGGTCCGGCCAATGGTAATGTTCCTCCAACAATTGATCTGACCACACTATTTCCGGCCAGTGCCGATGCCGAGTAGATACCATATGAGCCAGCGAGGTAGTTCGATGCGTAGATAAAGACCAAGGTATTTCCAGCTCCAAAAGGAATACCGGCAAGAATCGGCCATATCCAATGAATGGTGATGGGAACACAAGTCCAACTAAACCAAAGTTGTCCAATGGGACACAAAACCGCCGCGATACAAATAATGCTCACCGAAGCTTCGGGTGGGACCTTTCCTGTTTCGGGGTCTTTCTTGTGCGAATTGATCATCATACGAATCAGTGGTTCCGCTACAATGCCGAGCATAGTTCCCAAGCCAATTCCTAGAAAAGCGAGACCGGTCTGGCCTAAGGTCCATCCACGCATTTTCGTATAGATAATTGGATATGCAACGAAACAGAGATAAAGAATACCATAAATGATCTACACGTCCTCGTTAGCTTCAATGGTTCTGGTGACATATCAATTTTAGCCGAGCCGTTCCAGTACATTGCAGCACTAAAATTGTTAACATCAAATCTTGAGAAGAACTTACAGCAATATATGTATTCCAGAACCAGAGAATTGGTTCTGTGAAACATAGTACAAATGGCCTAGAGAGGTTTATTTTCAAAATTTCATAGACTGGAAACACAAATTAGCATCTTCCAATTGGTGACAATATCAACATCTACTCACAGCTCTTCTTTTGATCGTATCGGCACCAATATCGCTCATCACCCGTTTCTTTGCGCATTTTTGCCGCTTTCTTGATTAAGATTACTGGTGCGTACGTCTCCTTGACGAATCCGCAAGCTATCCAAGCGCACCCAGCAAGTATCATCACAATCCAATTTGTCCATCTCCATCCCAAGTATTCGGCAGCGAAACCGCCAATAAGCGGGCCTGTTACTGGACCATTCATCGGCCCAATACTCCAAATACTAAAAGCCAATGCACGATACTCTTCAGTTGTAATATCTGCAACTGTTCCAGGCGAGTTTGATATCATGGCAGCACCTGCAAGCGCACTGTATTTTGAATTAGCACTAATCAACTCGACAGTGATATAAAAATATATTATCTTCACATACCCAATGAACCTTACACCTAGGACCTCGCCAAGCGAAGTGGCCAAACCACACGGTAGTACCATTAAGGTGAAGAAAGCTAAAGCTCCAATATAAACTGGTCTCCTACCCCAAATCTCACTTAATGGCGCAAGAACCAAACTTCCAGTCGCCAGTCCAAGCAGATATGTCGTGACACCCAATGTTGCAATGGGCTCGCTTGTGACGGAGAATTCCTTCATCATGCCCGGCATACTCGAGGTATATGATGAACTGTACAGAACCGTAGACCATGTCGCAAAACTCACAGCAAAGATTGTATAAGAACGATACCACAACGGCCAATTTCTCGGATCATCAGGATCGTTTTCTTCGAAATCAACTTCGAATGATGGGTTCCGTGAGCCAGTACTAACGTATGATGTACCGGTTTTTGTATAACTCAATTGGACATGTGCAAGTTGTTCTGCAGGTGTCTCAAGATTTGGAGTGAGGGCATGTTCGAGTGGAGATAAAGGGTCACTATTGATTGAGTTGGAGGTTAAAGATGTAATAGAAGGCGCATGCGAGAGAGGATGGTGGTATTTTTCATGATCTGATAACGAAGACGCAAGAGTTACAGAGGCAGGGTTAGAAAAATCGAGGTCGTGGATGTTATCCTCCTCGAGATATGTGGTTTTCGTCATGGTGAAGTAAAAGTCCCAAACAGTATGAGTACAATTTCTCACTTATTTTTGTCGCCCAATGGGTTCAAGGAAGGTGATCAATACAATAGGCCTTTGTACTTCGTACTCTTTCATACAAGTTTAGTTCATCAGAAAGTATTAAAGGTAGTAAATGAAGATGTCAAAGCTACAAACCACTTCCCCAAAGGAAACAGATCATCAAGGAAAGAGAGAGTAAACATGTACCATGGGAATTGTGGGCATGGAGAAATCTTTAAAGGTCGAGATGACAATCCTGACAATCAAGAAATTTACCCCCCGCTTTGGACCAAGGATCCATCGTGGACACTAATCCTATTCCAGGGTTTTTCTCGTCCCTGTCAAGGAGGTACAGCACCCATTACGAGTAGTGAGTGGAAACTGGTATCTTAAACATGCGAGACTTTTGAATCATTCCACTCTTGATACGAACTTCATGAGCACCACAGGATGCTTTATGTGAAGTCGTTCAGATTCACCACTGAGAGAATCATAATACAGTACTGTACAACCATAATATCAAACGGTCATTCAACATCTTTCTGCGTTTTGGAGTGGGGTTTTGAGGGGGATTGGGGGGAATTATCAATTTTGATGCAAGATGATATTGACAAATGTACGATGGCGTTATTCAGGAACGTTGTTTGGTACGGCACGTTGCAGGAGACATGAGACGGTGTGATAGAGTGGGAGGATAAGCCAAGAACAAGCAAGCTTTGTGCCGATATCCATCAACAAGAGGAGGCTTTCGCGGTATGACTCAATACAATCAGGCCAGAATGACGTTCACGAGTCGACAAAAGCCATCAAGAGCCGAAGAGAAAGACGACACCAATGTAGATACCGGTATTCGAAGCTTGGCATCTGGCATCAAAAGATGCGATTGATTGTATTAGGCCGAGACCTGCGATGAAAAAAAAAAGCACCAAAGTAAAGCACCATAGAAGAATTTATAGGGATCTACTTGTAGATCTACTTCCAAAAGTTAGTTGATGGGAATGATATTGGGTGAGAATGGGTGGGGGGTTCAAGGGTTCAAAGTTGTCTCTCATCACGTGATGTAGAGCTTGACGCGACTTATACTCCCAAGCGCAAATTGTCGTCGCGACCAAAGCAAGCAAAGCAAGCAAGCAATCAACACTTCGGTACACACCTCATCGCAGTGATATATGAATTATTGCAGGCCAATTATACTGAACAAATTATCCCAATCAGGTCTCAATCATTTTTCTCGGAGCCATGGCTGCCGGCTTTTCCCATCCAAGGGTTTCGAGGAATCCGCAAAATACACAATTGAGGTAGGTAGCTTCTAATCACAATCATTAAGAATACCTTCACTAATATCGATAGTTACGAATTACCACATCGCGTTCATACTACTAAAGTATACCCTTTACCTTCTCCCAATGGATCGACGATACTTTTACAAGGCAATGAAAATGGAGTAAAAATTATATGGAGAGGCGGCAGAGCTTTCAAACCACCGCAGAAAACAGCCTCAAAGGCTGCACAAACTAATGGATCGAAAAAAACTGCTGTAATATCTCTTGATTCGGACGAAGATGAAGCTCCCAGCCCACCTTTCGAGGATAAGCCGGATTTCGAAGATGACGAACAGGAGATTGACCCGAGACGGCCATACCCCAGCGTTCTGCAGACCTTAGATTTACAATTTGGAACCGATGTCCTTCATATAAGCTTATTGCCAAGCTCTATACTCAGAGCGGATGGCGCACCATGGCGAGGAATCGACTCTTTGAAACCAAAAATCGTTTTCTCGGCAGCCTGCGCTGATAATACCATTCGACTAATCACACTGCCTCTCACACCGCCATCTCCTCTGAGTAAGAACCGTAATGAATTCCGACTTACCCCTGCGATAGCAAATGTCGGAAACGGAAAATGGGGAGAGACTATGGTTATTTTGACTGGCCATAAAAAACCATCTGATGGAGTATCCATGACTGTTGATTTCGAGGAGAAGCAAACTTCAACGAAAGACAATTCAAATTCTACAACAGAAACACAAATCATTATAGCCTCGCATTCAAAGGAGATCACTGGTCTATTACAGCTGTGGCGCGTGCCTCTACCAATGCCATCTTCATCAACCATGGTACCACCATTCCAATCGATTCATATGCCTTCTCCAGCCGTCGGCATTTCATTCAACCCATCACTTTCAGAACACCATTCGAGTCATTTGCTCGTCGCCGATAACCTTGGCACTTGTCGAATCTACAATCACAAGCTCCTGGTGAATCCGTCGGAAGATCCTGAGAGCGCGATCGCTGAACAGGGATCCTGGCTAGTCTCTTTATATCCTGGATTCAAAAGCAGCAAAACTGATTCACAATCGTCTCAAAAGAGTACGTACTCTGGGTTTGGCCGAAAGATAATCGTGGACGCAAAATGGGTATACAGCGGCAAGGCGATTCTTGTACTGTTGAGTGATGGAGAATGGGGTGTGTGGGATATGAATGGAGTAGGACCAGGCGCAAAAAGAGGTGTCCTTGGTCAGCAATCTATAAAAGGGGGTTCACGATCAGCGTTCAACCTTACAGGTTATGTTGAAGGTGCGACCAAATCCAACTCAAAAACTTCCGGTCCTCCACAAATCGCCCAATCAAGGTTCGCCCCCATGACTCCTGGAACCCGTAAAACAACCGATCTATTCAGCAATAAAGTCCAGCCCACAGGTCCAATCCGTGGAAGTATATCAGTACTCGAAGCCCCATCCACATCATCTCATCTAGCATATGAAGAATCCATACTCTTCTGGCTGGGCGAATCTTTCACCTTCATTCCCTCCCTCTCGAAATACTGGTCCGCCAATCCCCGCAAAGGCCAAACTTCAGCAAATATCTTCAACACCTCCCCAGGTTCCCGTCCCATCAAGCTAGAGCACGTAGATCTTCTCGGTGAACGTTGCACTGGTATCGAACAAGCTCCTAAATGTTCAACGTCACCACATACTAGGACGGATATATCAACCGATATATTCATAATGGGTGAACACAGATTTACGATTTTCATAGGCGGGGAGTCCGTAGCGCCGAAACAAAATCGGAAGGCGTATGCATTACAATTAGTACAGAGTAGAGAGGATGAGGATGAGGATATGACGAACAACAGAATGATAGGGGTAGGAAGTGGTGATTTAGACGTGAATGATATTGACAGGGCGTTAGCGAGGATGGAGAACAATGAGATACCTGGTGGAGGGTTGTTGTTTAGTGGGGAAAATAGGTCGTAGTGTATGGATACGAAACGAGAGGATAGAAGAGGATAGGAAAGATGATGAAGATAGATACCCCGTGATGTTCAACTGGGAATATAGTTGTATTCCCGTCTCCCTTTCTTCTTACTTTACTTTCTTTCATTCCCCTTTCATTTCATCCCCCATCAATTTTTTGCCTGTCCCCTCTAGTGATGAAAGATCAAGCAATGTGATGCTATCCTCCCTCACATGCTCTCATACCGTGAATACCAATTTTATCATTTCCCTCCGCAAGGCAAGGTGGAGTACAAGGCGAGATCATTCCTTGAAACTCTGTAATCCATGCGGTACATCAAACACACCTCGAAATCATAAGTCTCTCGCCCTTGGCAACTTGGGCTTCAAGAGAGAGCAGCTACGTACTGGCACCTGTTTCTAAGGAAATGTGGAGGTATGTGGTTGTAGGGGGGGTTCTTCTACTGCTGCTCGTCGTTTTGTTGTGCTGCTTTAGGGTGGTGCGATGATGTGGCGTGGTGGGGAATATGGAACTTGTACATTTTTTGAATCTTTTTGAGGGGGTGCTTTTGGGGTGGGGTGTGGTGTGGAGGGGGGCAAGGATGGGGGCAATCTGGTAGGGGAGGTTTCGTGACTAGAAATCGAAGACTACGATGGGGTAGGGATATTGGAGCGAGCTAATTTAAATATGATTTTTATACTACTACTACTACTACTACTACTAGGTCTGAGGACACATCTGGTATCAAAATAGCATTACCCATCATACATCATACATTTTACATTTTACATTTTACGCTTGAGTACAGTATATAGAAATGGAGAAACATCCAAGATTCCTATGTGTTTACATGGGATGGTATAAATTAATAACCGTATAATTGAGTAGAGTAAAGTCGAGCTTTTCATCTTAATATTAAAACATATTATTATGAGTAGATAATAATACCTACCCATATATGAGTAGACAGTAAACGAATCGATGCACTTAAGAATCTAGAGTTGCAAAAGGGGTTTGAATACTAGCTAGCTAGCTAGGTAGGTAGGTAGGTAGGTAGGTAGGTGAAAGAGCTGATTGGTTAAGGGAGGCGAAACTTATTGGGATATCGATAAGGAATACTCGTATTTGGATGTATTTCTTGGGTTGAATGGAGGGGAGGAGGGGGAAGAGAAAAGATAAGAGGAGAAATTTGCGCTTGTGGCAGGCAGAGTAAAGATTTATTGGGTGTGATGGGAAAAGGGACAGAGAAATTAATATAGCATCTGCTAGTTAGTGTATCCAAGCATAGGTAGTACATAAGTACAAACTCCTCACCAAGAACGTCTAAATCAAATCCTATTTGATTCGTGCGCTTCTACTCTAACTTTCTCTTGGAGAGCTTGTTATAATTATAACACCTGGTATATACTCGTAATCTCACATAAATGCAAATTTGTAGAATCTAATTTCAGGGCTGGACCGGAACGATACGTGAGTAAATCATTTCTTCAAGATCAGATGAACACATTACCGTATCCCTTTAAGTGCTATTGTCTTGTTGGAAGATAGTCTATGCAGTAACAGTATAAGTTTAGGAATATTATTGAATATAGAGCACTCGAGTAGAGGAATCTAAGTTATTTGATTGGTCGCTTAATCCCTGTATATTCTAGGCACTTACTTGAGTAGCAGAAGTATGCATCGCACACCATTCTTCTTTCCCCTCGTTCTTATTCCTGTACTGTAAGCTTACTGGGTGTGTCTTGCTTCGTTCTTCAAATAGGTTTAAATCTAGAGACTACAGTATGGATAGGGAGTAAGGAGTAGAGAGAGTCGAGGGTCGAGAGTGGGTGAATAAATAAATATATGTTCCCAGCCAGTAAAACCCCCTATTTACCGAATACTAAGGCTATATTGTCAACAACCAACACTTATGTATATTCATTCGTAGCAAGGCTCGCGAAATGTCATATACCATAAAACCTCTTCCGGGCTTTTCTACATCGGATATTGCAAGGCTCTTATTGTGGGGTACATACAGCAGACAGCCGGAGATTTAAGTACATACCTTCGGCATTTACAGGGCCACTTACAGCACTCGCTACAGGCACTAACTACCTAGTAGGGTAGGGGTTCTTTCCCAGCCACACCTTGTGGAACAAAAGATTTTTGTTTGAAAGATTTCACGATTGAATCCACCAATGAGCACTCAATTCGAGGTGAGGTGAGAATTGGCAAAGTGATAAAAAGAGCAAGTGTTAGAGAATCTGACCATAAGTGTGGGAACCCGAGCATTATCTCCCCCCGAAAACGACTGAAGTATGGTAGATAGCGTCAATCTGGACGCCCAATAAAGCTCCAGACAAATTGCGCGCTAAGCCCTTCGACAGATCATATATGTATAGCTGGACGTTCATTATTCTGTCCCGGGTAAAGAGAAAATAATCATTTGGGCCTTGCAATATTACTACTGTAGAGGCTGCAGCAGCTTTGTTAGGAATAATGTTATTGCCAAGGAGTAACCTTATCATCTACCCGTCTTGGATGATGATGAGCTGCCAAGAAAGTTTTTGAGCGGGAAGCATCTACCTATTGGTGCGCTTTGAGTAGAGGGTTCTTGTTAATTAGGCGTTTAGTAAGATGTTAAGGGTGAGGATGTGCTTGCTGGGTAAGCGAGTGGGGTGGATCTGTTTTGGGATAAATTCTGATACAAATGGATTTTAAGATGGATCCACCAGTTAGAAGCTTGGATTGTTCGGGAACTCGGGGAGATAGAAGGATTCGTAGATGGACGGAACGATTGACCCAATCGTGGATGTCCTGCTTGTGTTTCCCCGAAAGCTTAATGGTAGTACTATTGCTGCAGTAGTAATATAGTTTGTGAGGAGAGCAGCGGCTAGGGATGATATGAACCATATGGTTAGTGGTTAGTTCCATATTGAGTACACGGAGGTGAACCTCTAGTAATATCTCTCGTCGATAGTCTGACGGGCCAAGAACCATGGACAGGAGGCGACACGAGGATGGTAACTATATATAAGCTCACAACCCCCGACACAATTCGTTTCATCTCATCCATCATCCCATCTCATAATGTTTTCTCGTCTCCTTCTTCCACTTCTCGGGCTCTTAAGCCTCGTAGCTGCATATTCCAATCCAGGTTCTTGTTCTGGTAACTGTTATGCACATGATCCATCTTTGATTCAACGTTCTAGTGATGGCACTTGGTTCCAATTCAATACCGGGAATGGTATCGGGATCTGGAAGGCCACGGCTCTTGCTGGACCGTGGACTTATGTGGGTGATGCTTTGAGTGGAGGGAGCAAGATTGATTTGACCGGGAACACTGATCTTTGGGTTTGTTTATTTCTATTTCCTTAACTGCTTGTGCCATTCTTTCTATTCAGAGATCATCGCGGATTAGAAGATAAAGAAAATAAATATGTAAGAGGTCTTGCTAAAGAACGTTAGGCACCCGATGTTCATCTCGTAGGCTCAACCTACTACATGTACTATGCTGTCTCCGCCTTCGGATCCCAAAATTCAGCAATCGGAGTCGCAACCTCTACTACCATGGAAGTAGGATCATGGACCGATCGGGGTGCTACTGGTGTTGCTTCATCAAGTGGCAAACTATACAATGCTATTGATCCCAATCTCATCCTGGTCGGCAGTACCTATTAGTTCGTCTCTCCTTCTATTATCTTCCCTCACACCCCCTTCCATCCACCTTTCCACCCTCTCCAATCCTCAACTCCCAACACAACAACTAACCCACCCCTCTCCCTCCACAGCCTAAACTTCGGCTCATTCTGGGACGACATCTACCAAGTAGCCATGTCATCCACGCCCACCAAAGCCAGCGGCTCCGCCTCCTACAACCTGGCCTACAACTCCACCGGTACCCATGCTGAAGAAGGATCCTACATGTTCTATTATTCGGGGTACTACTACCTGCTCATCTCCTCGGGCATCTGCTGCGGCTACGATACCTCGAAACCAGCCTCGGGCGCTGAATATAAAATCGTCATGTGCAGAAGTACGAGCGCGACAGGAAATTTCGTGGATCAGAGTGGGAAGGCTTGTGCTGCTGGTGGAGGAACGACCCTTTTGGCTAGTCATGGGAACGTTTATGGACCGGGTGGACAGTGAGTTGTTTATTTTCTTTGTCTTTTTTCACTTCTAGCTTTTTCTTGTCTTGTCTATGGGGAAGAGAGACTTGGTGTATGGTGTGTGTTGGAATATAAAATTACTCACTGATGATGAATAGGGGTGTCTATCTCTCATCCTCGGGACCAATCCTCTACTACCACTATGCAAATCCTACGATCGGGCTTGGAGATGCGAATTATCGGTTTGGATATAATTATCTTACGTTTAGTAATGGATGGCCTGTTGTGTAGGTCTTCTTCTGCCCCTCCTCCATTTCTCCTCGTCTAAACCCTACATTCGATACCCAAAAATCCACCTCACAACACCCCACCCGAAACTCACGAAAATAAAAGCTCATGGGAGCGAATAACCGTCGACATCTTGCACATATTATAACACTACCATTATTTTGTATATATTCACCAGTCTTCCGAAGACGAAGACAAAGACACATTGTATTTTCTTTTGCACATACTTTCTTCTGGGAAAAATATCCTTCGCTATATATAGTTTTCATTTTGGCTACTTGAGTAGTATGCAAATATATTTATTGTCAAGTATCGCTTATTATCACATCTGACATGACTTTGGTCTAAATGAATATATACATACATACATACAAATATGTATGGAAGTAGCCATGCTCACTGTGATACTTTGATACAGCATACAAGCCATCCACCCACCCACCATCAAAACTCGAGAGGGTAGTAATAAAATACCATCACCATCACCATCACCCCTTTATTACCTATCTACCTAGGTAGGTTAATCGAGGCGATGGTCCTCATGAAACTACTCGAGTAGAATAGATGGAGATATCAAAATTGGGACGTGGATTCAACTCCTCCTTTATGGTAAATGTATCAGAAATGCTTTATAGTCTATAATCTCGATGTGAAGTGTATTTTCGAATGTTGTGATATGTACTCGAGTAATTGTATTGCTATCAAGCATCCGTTAATTTTCCAGAATGATCCTATTCATGCCTGAAACGCCCTAAAATGCCTTGAACTCTTTTTATCAGGCCGCAATTCATGTGAAGCAATCATTCCTCATCTTCCCTTAAAAACAGGCTTTCTTTTCTCTCTAAATGCAACCAACGCCTTATACCTATCCTCAGTCCCTACCACCCTCCCATACATTTCATTTTCAACATCCTCTCTCGCCCAACCCACAGCTTTCAACGCACTCCTCGTCGCCACCGGACCCCCCTCACAAATCGTACCCGCAAGATGCACCGCCTCCCTCAAAACCGCCTCTTTAGCCCTCTTCATCAAATCTCCCTTGTCTTTCCCTTCCCCACTAGCTTCCCCTTCATCCTCCTTAACCTCTACCAATCGATCCGCTATCCCTAGAAAATAAGCTTCGGCACCACTGACTCTCCTCCCGGTCAATATTAGATCCCGCGCTCGTCCTACACCTATCAAGGCCGGGAGTCGATAGGTTCCACCCGCACCCGGAATTATACCAAGTCGAGTTTCGGGTAATCCGACTACAGCTGTGGAAGCCAGAACCCGCATATGTGTACAAAGAGCCAATTCGAGACCACCACCGAGAGCCACTGAAGAAATGGCGGAGATGGTTGGGATCGGGAGAGCGGACAGTCTGCCAAATGTCTCGCGGAGATTATGGAGAAATGTCTGGGTCCTATTTTCTTATTAGTCCCACTCTCATCACCACACTATAGTGCATGTAAACCACCAGCCAAATATCCAAAGATAACCTACATCTCTGGCGTAAATGTAGCCCTCTCTTTCAAATCCGCTCCGGCGCAAAATACCCCATCAACCTCACTAGTAATAATCAAAGCCCTCGTCGGTCCATCCTCACCCTTAGGTCTAACCTTCCTTATATCGTTCCCATCCGCATCATATTCCGCCGCGATATCATCTACATGGGCGCGCAATTCCTGCAGTAATTGGATACTAATAGCATTGCGAGCTTCGGGGCGACAGAGCGAGAGAACGCGGATGGAGCCGTTGGAATGCGGTGTCGGGATTTGGAAAGAGGAGATAAATTGGGGACGGCCGGAGGTGGCGGTGGAATAGAGACGGGGGGTGAAGAGTTTGGGAAGGGTGGATTTGAGGGGGAGGTGGAGGAGTGGTCGCATTTTTAAGGTTGGTGGGTGGAACTTGGAGGGGATTCGAGTTGAGGGATGAGATTGAGAGATAGCGAAGGTTTGTATATAGCGGATATCGGCGGGTACTAGCGGGATGGATGTTAACAGACGATATTACAGGGGTGATACAGGGGTGATACAGGGGTGATACAGGGATAATACACCAAAACTTAGCGATGTCATCACTATCGCATCGCTAATCAAATGCATTCAAAACCATACTGAGTACTCGAGTACAACCAGATCTTACTGTACTCAATTCAAAGATACTACATATACTCGTACTGAATACCTAATACTCAATACCCAAGACATCAATCCCCATCAAACACTCCTCAAATCACTCCTCAAACCAATATCCCATTCCCATCCTCATCCAACATGTCCAACCCAAACCCCCCAAACAACATAACCGTCGCCTCTCTCCCACCCGAAGCCATAGCCTTCGCAACCAAAATTTACGACGCAGCTCGAAACGGTGATATTGAGATTTTCGAACAAGCGTTACCTGCTGGCTTACCGGCCAATATGACGAATGAGAAGGGCGATAGTCTTGTACGTTATGTTATGTTTGCTTTTGATCTTACATTTCTCGTTCTCGTCACGGTTGAAACTGCGATTTTGCGATAAAGACACTATCGCAAGGTTCACCGGGAGCTTTCTACCCCTCTTCACGTGTTATATTACCTACCCCTTCATCTCTTCATGCGGATGTCTTTTACATTCCATATTGCCTATATATTACAATATTTAATTGATTCAACACACAAATCCTAATCCATGGCAAAAAATAGATAATGCTAGCCGCCTACCACGGCCACGCACCTCTCGTTCAACTTCTTCTCCAACACGGTGCCAATCCCAACTCATTAAACGATCGCGGACAATCACCTCTTGCAGGCGCGGTATTCAAAGGAGAGGTTGAAGTAGTCGAGGTATGCAACATTTTCTTCTTTCCCAATTAATCTCCACCCCCCCACGTTTTGGAAGAGATGTATGTACAGCTCTAATAAAAATATGGAAATACAGGCATTACTCAAAGGCAACGCCGATCCAGATCATGGATCTCCAAGCGCAATGAAAGCTGTGGAATTGTTCAGGCAAGAAGAGACGTGGGCGCAGAAGTTTGCGGATGCGCCGGGGAGAGGAAAGGCTGTGTAGTATGTGAAATGAAGTGAAGTGAAGTGAAGTGAAGTGAAGTGAAGTGAAGTGAAGTGAGTGGGAGAGGAGATGGAATGGTATAGGCAGGAATTATACTGGGTCATTGGTTTATGTTTCACTAGGAAAGATATTAATGGAAAGTATCCAAAAGGGTATCACTATATTACTTTAGTAACTCAACACAGTGCTCAAAATCCACTATCTAATACCCCCTCTTACCCCCTTACTCCCTCCCTCCCCCATCGGCACAACATCCAACCCCAACCCCAACCCCAACCCTAACCCCTCACTAACAACTCCCCACTACACTGTCCCAAAACCAGCACTCCCACCGGATTAACCGTCACCATCGACGGCCCTCCCAAACCCCTCGTTTGTGTAAAACTTCCCCCTCCCCCCGTAATCGCACAATACCCTGTTCCCTGCGCTTCCAAATATGATGTTTTCTGTGAATTGTCTATCAAATATGCGTTGCCATCTACGGGGAATGTTTGTTGGACTAGGTGGGGGGGTTAGCGAGTTTGTATTTATGGGGGAAAGGGGGGGCGAGGGAAGGGGAAAGGAAAGGGGGGAAAAGGAAAGGGAGGGGAGAAAGGGGATGAGGGTAAGATGGACGGGTATACATATACATACAGAAATCCCCAAAATCCGCATAAAAAGTAACAAGAATATTTCCAGCAGAAGGATAATCATTGCGAGTAATGTGGGGAATACTGGTATTGGTATTACTTATTCCAGCTCGAACTTGAGATGTATTGCCGTCAGTGAAGAGATCAATTGGTGCCGAGGAGGCTAATGAGTATAGTGATGATATGAAAGTAATGAGTGTTGCGGTGTTCATATTTGATGTAGAAATTCGTTGTGGAAAAGTCGCTGTGGAAGTAGTATCTGGTAGATACTCGAGTAGATGTATGAGTAAATAGAAGAATGAGATATTTTGGAAGAAAGATATGTTTCTATTTCTATTTCTTTCTTTCTTTCTTTGAACAAGTATCGGAAATTCACAGTGTATACACTGGCACACATCAATCATATCGCATCTTTTTTTTTCTTCGCCCCAAAAATATCCAAACCCAGAGTACCTATACCCTGCCATTCTCGCTAATACTACTCTACTTACTTACTAGCTATCAATTCTACGAATGTAAAATCAATAAAGAAAACTCTGCGTGAAAAATCGAAAAAGGGGTCACTGACGGTGACAGGGAGGAGGGAAATCTTAGACAGACGGACAGAATATTGAAATGGCAAATATGATATTAGCACAGCGGGGAAAAGAAATGAAAAGAAAAGGACACAGGAAAAAGCAAATATATATTAGAAATTTAGAGATAATTCCTCTGCTGTAAAGTTGACAATGTACTTACTTATAGTGTTATTATACGAGAAGATGGAAAAGATGATCGATCAGTATATGCAGCTATACCCTTATACCCTTATACCCTTATACTCGAGTAATTGTTCTGAACAATCTCCCTACACACCTTACTTACATTTGCATTTCCTTCCATTTCCACACTCGTGAATATACAGTAACACAAACTACATCTTCAATTACTCAGTACTCACCTCATCTCATTCTTCATCCTATCCTATCCTATCCTCATGAATCTACTTACGCACCAACTCGCACTTATACTTACACTTACACACACATTCTCCGACGGAAATAATATTTCCCTCTCTCCCTCTTTGTAAAATCCAGAACCTACACTCCCAACAAGCACCCCTAAGACTCCGTTCTCATAGCAAGAGCATGAATACAGACCTTCCTCTCGCCTCATTCTTCCCTTATAAGAACCAACCAACCACAAGCTCACCCACAGCATCAATATTAAATAACCCGCCATACCCCCAACATATGACCTATCCATCCATCAAACCAACCCATAATTCTCGCCTTCAAATGTCGTAAGAACAAAAAGCTTCTTACCAGACTTGACGACGGCCATCATTTAGGTCAATAAAACTTTCCATTGCGCTGTCGGAATATTGGTTGACCAGCGGTCAAGCGGTCAAGTCCAAGTCCATATATACTAATTCGAACATGAACATGTCTTCTCAAAACCCCCACAGAATGAATCGAGGAAATTTCTCTACATACATCACCTGTATCAATTTTAGGATCACATGTATGAATAAGTAGAAACCCTATGACCCTCATTATTTTGATTTCTGGTATACCTTTATAAAAGACACCTGCAATGCCGCCAAACCTTCGACTTTCATTCTAGGAACCATGCCAAGTAAGTCTCACATCCATCATAACACATAAATTCATTTATTCCTTCCCACCCCCAAATAAATTCCTACCCCATCTCATCAACCCAAACCCTTGCCCTTAATCTCTGCACCACCTCCTTCCTAATCCACCTCATCTCCCTTCCCTCCTCCATCGCCTTATCAGCCCAATCAAACAACAATCTCAATCCCAACAATCTATCCCTATTCCCACTATCTAGCGTCGCATGTTCAAGCACTAACCTAGAGTCCACAGATGTTTGTTCGGTGCCTGCATGGATATCTCTGGGCCCTCCATTATCGGGCGGTAGCACCAATGCTCTTTCTGCTTTAGAGAGGGTTGCGAAAGCTGGGAGTTCGAAGAGCCATTGAAGAGATTGGTTGACGGTCTGGTCGGCTTCGTCTAAAGCTTGAAGGGTCGCTTTGAATGCGTTGGTGCTTGCGTCATGAGCTGGACGTTTGCGAACGTAAATCATTTGCATTGATTTGAATGCCTCAACATGTGCTTTATTACTCTCCAAATCCAAAACGACGTTCCAGTATTCAGGGCTGCACGTTCGTACTGTTTTGATCTGACTAATTTCGGGAATGAGACAAGGTGTATGACGTTGATCTTCTTTTCCATTGCGAAGCGTGATCTGAAGAGCTATCGGAACAGGTTGATCGGTATCGATATCTCTTGTAATGAGACATCGAGGTTCTGCTGCCAAGACCCAGAAATGACGGAAGGCTTGTAAGTGAGATTTGTTGTCCTGGACGGTGGATGGAAATATCGGGTAAAACGCCACAATCAATGCAGCAATTGCTGTGTCTGAAGTACCGAATGTGAAGGTTCCACCCCCCAAGAATAAAGCTCCAATGGCTAAATGAGTAGCGAGATGACTGCCATAAGGTGTCTCACTATCATCACGACCATGCATTGAACGAAGTCTACGAAAAACGGAAATGTCCCCTGTACCCGCCATGACAGTAGCTGCGCCGAGTGCTAATAAATCCTGACAATTGCGAACGGTATTTCTTGTCAGCTTTTTATCGAACGAGCCTGCTTCAATTTGACAAATCCGCCTAAGCTCATCTAAATAATATAACAGTATATCTCTTGCAACCAAATTTGCTGAACCGGCGAATCTCAGAGCAATGCTGAAGCAGAGACCAGTTATAATATCGTAAAAGGGAAGATCTGCCGATGTCAGGGCTGTGATGCGTTGCAGCGAACTTCGACTTTTGTAGGGGGTAGGTAGGCTCTTTCTGATCCATTTGTGTGAAGGCTCTATTCTACTCCACATAATCAAGTGTCGGGCAACGGTTCGAAGTAGGAAAGCGTCCGGTCGAACGTAATCGAACTGAAGAACGGAATCTGGTACATCTATCTTCCTTGCCAATACCTGATTCTCTGATTTCATATATATGAGAGCGATAGATATGATCGCAGCGGCCGTAGATTTGTCCAAGATATGAACGAGGTCAACCTTCTTACTTCCGGCAGCCAGTGCAATAAGTCTTTCTGTGAGTCGCATGTCGTGAAGACCTTTGAGATCGGAACCTTTACCGAGATTGATAAATCCGAGGGCAAATCCTGCTGCAAGACGATAGCCTTCGTTTCTCAGAGGCTCTTCGTCAATTTCTTGGTCAATATGCTCCATTTCAGACACCATAATCTCACTCATGCGACGATGTTGTGTATTACAATATAACAAGCCAATACCCATGATACCAGTAGTCTGGGTAAGTGGGGAAAGATTCAATTCGGCGGCTCCAGGCGGGAGCATTCGGGTTACGTGGACTGATAATAGTCTAGTAATCAATGAATCCATGGTTCCCATATAGGATGCAGCTAATCCAAGAAGTAGCCCAATCGAAGTCATTGTATGTTTTGGGGTTAAGTATCTGAATGCAACCCACTTTGCCACGGATTTAAGATGGCCATTGAGACCAAGTGCCAGTAAGAAACCAGCGTGACGATTACTCAGATCCTGGAGTGGCTTGTTGTAAAGAATCCATGAGGTATCAATTCCCTTTGCATCTCGAGAAATGCTAAGACCAGCAGAAACGCCTGCATGGAAGAATGCCCAACAAACCTTTTCCTCGGTGAAAGCATTCTTATCAACACCAACCGTATTGTTGTTTGGTTTCATGACACAGCTTAAATTGAACCCTCCAATAGCAAATCTTTGCGTTAAGAGAGGTATACGAGCACTATAATATAGTAATCCTCTGCCAGAAGGGATGGCCAACGTGCGATAAGCCAGCATTTGAGCGTGTTCCTTTTGAGCTTCTAACAATTCTGATTCCGTCCAATCAGGTCTGGATCTAACACGAGCAATCGTCGGTCTGAATGTATTCAGGATATTGATTGCCTCGTTCATTCTTCTGTCATCTTTGAATATTGCTCGTGTGATGGCTTGACGATCTACTTCAGCGGATCCATCGAATGCTCCAGTGGTCTCAATCTCTGTTGTAGATATACATATGGCATGAACGTCCAAATTAGCTTCGTGGGATGGTGGCTATATACGTTAGTTTTTGAGGTTATGGGTGGAATATTATACTCACTAATAAGGATGGCTGAAAACTTCGAGATGAGCGGCCAGGCGTTAGTAGCATACTGACATCTTCACGACCCACCAGTGCAAGTAATTCTTGGCTCCAGCTTGTTGGAGGTTCACTTTGACATTCAACGATTGCTTCTTGAAGAGGGGCAAGAATGGCCTCTGGCAAAGTCTCAAGAAAGAGGCTATCTACCCCAGAAGCAGATAGTGCTTCTACAAGTTGTACAGAACACCAGCCATCTTGCATGCACGAAAATAACTGAGCAAGTTGCAGAGTTCTTGGTGTTGAGCTACGCCATCGCTCAAGGTCTCGGATACCCCTGGTAGGAATGTCAGATCTTATCGTGACCAGATCTTGAAGGGTTAAGAAGGGCATTAGTCTTCGGGCGAGGAAACAATCTTGAACCCAGGTGTAAATCGATGGACATTCGAATGGTTCAGCAATCTGAGAAGCTAGCACAAGATCTACAGAGATGATAAGCGACTTCTAATTTACACACAGGACTGGAAGAACATACCGGCATCATAGATTACGTCTACCAGTGAAGCTTCCTCGGTTTCATAGAAATCTATCCAGCTCTCCCATCTGAGCCATCGAACAATCTGGGATAGGACCGGAGTCAAAGTAGGCACGCCAGTACTGGAAGAATCGGCTGTCATTGTGTCAAGCTTTCTTTCCTCTCGCAATAAATGTAAGCCTGCAATAACGTCGATCAGAGCAGCTTGACGAAGCTCGAGAGACTTATTAGTTGCCGTCGGCAGATAGCCTGTAACAGCTTCCTGGCCCAATTTTGAATAGAAGAACGTTCGCGCAAGATTCACGTGCCTTTGAATGAAAGTTTCCTTATCCTTGGCCGCCGATGAAAGGTCATCGAATTCAGAAGAGTAATACACCCCAGAATCTTCTTGTTCGTTTAAGAGCCACTTCCATCCGCCATTATTAAGCCAAGGTGGCAAAGGATTTCCATATGGGGCTAAATGACCGAGCATGGCCTCATAACAGTCCATATTTACATGTCCACCACTGCTCGACCGCAATAATGCAGTGCGTGGTTTCTTTGTTATTTGAGCCTTCTTCTGGGGTTGTTTGGCTGCACCAAAGCTGAAAACCATCGAAAATAGAACGATGAGTAGAGATGTCCACTCTGCATCAGAAGTATTGATAGATTCCAGCTGAAGCCATTTCATGGAATTCCACCATGTAACAAGCATCCCTTCACCTCCACTTGCACCTGGTAGAACCTTCGTGCATACTTCAAGAATTTTAGCCACATAAGGACTGCGAGGCTGCATGAGTATTTGCAATTGATGCATTTTGCCTTCATCATCTAACAAATCAACAATACCTCGAGGCTGTGGATTACGCAGACCTTTCAAAGCACGAGGGCCTTGGCTCAGAACTCTTTTGAACCCTCCATCCCTTTTCTCACGTGGGTGTTGGTCGTGACTCAGGTTTCGAGTGTTATGTATGACGAAACTTGCTGGCAGAGTTACCTTCATGAGAATGCTCCATGGGGCCTGTAAACTCAGTTCTCCAAAGCCATCATCTGTTTCCGTCAAGACTAGAATACGAGATATATCGCCGTCATCAAACTTGCAAGCATCTATCACACCTGGGGCTCGCATCACTTCTTTCAAGTTGACTAAGACCACTTCCTTCTCTGAATTTGGGGGCACCTCATTGTCGTTGAAATGGGCCTTTCGATGCATTTTAGTGTTAAGAGTCATCACAAGAAGCTTCTTCTCATCAGAATCCAGGATGCATATAACTATTGAATTGCCTTGTTGATCATCTGCAGCTGAGAGTGGTGCAGGCAGTATAAAGATCTTACACTGGCTCTTTGCCGGTATATGCTGACTCGAATACCGAACATTACTATGCTCGGCGGAGACACTGCAAACTTTTGTCAGGATGACTTCCTGTCTAAGGGCATCAAATTCATCGTCATCGAGACCCATATCATTGAAGCCACCAAAATCGCCTCCAGCGCGAAGTTGATCCAGAAGTTCATCCACTGGTGCTTCGAGATGGCTGTTAATGCTATTGTTCAGCTGAGTGGCCTGGGAGAAGCTTTGTCCATTCAATCCAATGCTCGTTCTCGTATGCTGGCTTCCTAATGACTCTCGAACTCGACCTGTATTATGCTGATGACCAGTTGCTAGTTCAGAGAAAGCATTTCGTTCGTGTGAAGCTGATAGATCTGCTCTTGCTAGCATTGAGCTCACACGTCGAGAACTTCTTCGAGGTATAGAGCCGCCTTCATAGTCAGGATCAAGGGTGGAGGCAAAATCAATTTTCTTGTCTTTTTTCACATCATCTGACCAAACAGCCTTCTTGAAACCAGGAGCAACTCCTCCAAAACTTTCCCGGACCGTCTGCTGACTATTTCCTACGGGTGTTGTGGCTCCTGTTCCACTAGGCAAAAATGAGCTTCGCCGACGTGATGCTGCACCACTCGCGACTCGAGATTTCCCGTTTGGCGTCGTTTCTTGCCCAACATAAGCCAACCTCCACACTGTAAACATGCTTGTTTCTCGATTCAATGTGATGGCTAGTACCAGAGGATTTTCCGAGTCCCTGGCAGAGAATTCATTCGGTCGAGACACATGAAGAATTTCCTCCGAAGGGTCTAATGTCGATATCTTGCCGGAGCTCCTTCGTTTTCTTCGACCATCGGACAAACCTGGCTGAGCAACGACTAACCCCATCTCTGATAGTGGATCTGACAAGGAAAACAATCGTGGCCAGTTCGCGTCACTTTGAACAGAAGGGGGTTCCCACAAATCCTTCAAGGTAGACATTTGGGTTGGCATCTGCATCGGAGTACCAAGATCCGCGGTAGAAAATGTTGAATGAACTGAACTTGTCGCCGACCATGATTGAGGCTGGGATGAGACAAATGAGTTGGGTGGTACTCGTGGAAACTTAAGAGATGCTGCGAGATTGTTGTCTGCTCGTAACCTTCGTTGTATAATGAGACCAATGGGTGCTGCAGTGGCAGACTCGACTTCGAATGGTAAATGTATGACATGGCTAGTACCAGAGAGAAAGTAAACATGCGCCTGCGTCTTTAAGAACACCACAATTGCCTTTTCTTTTGTATTCGAGCTCTTCGGTCGCTTCTTCGGTGCTCTATTCTTAGATGGTAAGGGTCCGACACTGGGGAACGAGGTTAATAATGCCTGTGTAATTGGTTCTTTCTCGAGGTCAAAATTGTAGCTTTTTCGAAAAACTCCTCCTCGCGACCAAATCACACATCTTGGTGTGACAAGCAGTTCATCGTCGACTTCCGAACCTGTATCGGCGTCGCAAACGTTATACCAACTGTAGGAACTACTGGCCGCATCTGCAGGTAGGTATCCTTCTTTAATCGCATATTGAAGTCCTGTGGGTTGATGTAAACCTAATGAATTGACCGAGGCCATATTTTGAAAAGCTTGTAGGGTATCATGAAGGCACACAATATACCATTATTTTATCAACTTTGTTCGGCGCACTCTACCTTTCTTTGTATCAGATTTTTATAATGTGAGTTTCTCCTTCATTAATTAATGCTTTCAGGAAACGCGTTCGCGATTGTAGAAGGTACGAGGCTAATATATATTTCAATGCACAGACCATGTCGAGGCTACGGCAGGATTGCAGGGCAGGTCACATTACCCCGCAATCTCGTTTAAAGGGCAATACTCAGACCGCCAGAAACTCCGCAACTTCGGCATATATAATAATATCATATCGTTAGTTTTTTTAGGTCCCCAGTTACGGACTTTCTAATGATATGAGTACCGATACAGTACATGTAACAAAGGATTCAGACACCTTTCTCCTTCAACAACAATAACAGATGTCCAACATCTACTGTACATGTAAGGTTACTACTCTATGAGGGGAAAACAACTCCTCAATCTCTCATGGGATAGATAGGGCGCCCCTATACCAACAACTGTCTAAAGTTCTTCCTTCTGTTGGGAATAGATAGTTAGGACATCTCTAATCCTTTTTATAACTACTCGAGTACTAATCCATACTCAAACATGGCCTTGCATACTAATAAATATACGCTCATTTGATTGCTCATTAATCTATCTGAATGGAATGAAGATTGTTGGCCAAAAAGTCAAGATAGTAAGTAGACCATGAAGCATCAAACGCAACAAGCATATCAACGAAATCCCACCCAAAGTAGCCTGGATGGTGGTGCATGATATCCAACCCCAAAGTAAATGCACAGCAGATTGTAAGCCAAAATATCAAGATAGTAGGCGATAAACCATCAAGTAATCATCGATGTATGGACAGTGTCGGCCAATATATTGCAGTGAAGTGTGGTTGATGTGCGAGGTATGCTGAATTAACGACGGATAATGCTGGATCAATGAAGGGGTTGGCGATGTTTGATGAAGGAGTCGACGACTAATTAAGGGGCTGACGACTAATGAAGGAGTCGATGAAGTATGAAAGGGTATGATGAATTGTGTCAATGGAGTAGAACATCCATGTATCTAATTTCGAATAGAGTGGAATTTGTCGAACTAATCGCTAGAAACAGGCATGCATGAAGCAAAACCATGATGTAGAAGCCATAAAGTACAAGCCAGGAGTAAAAACCGAGGATTTGAAGCCGAAGAAAGGTATGCAAGCAGCAAATCCATGTAGTAAAAGCCGAAGTAGTGTAACATCCGTGAAGAAAAGTAGTAGAAAGGTATGCGTAATGTCGTAAATGCATGAAAAAGATCCGAAACACCAGTGAAACCGATCCCCGAAGAAGCTGCAAAGTTCCCTCTCACCAAGAGATAAGGCAAGAGAGAAGGAACTCTGGATAGACTTTCATAGATCTCACACCCTGAGAAATCAAGATCCCACAGCATAGTAGCAACCAAATTCCTCCTAGAACCCCTTAATATCCACGACGAACAAACACCGTTACCTTCCAGAGCATGCCGTGAACAGGACACTCCAACACCTTGTAAGATCGTCTCTTGTGCCATAGGCCTTCACGATCCTCCCCATCCTCCATGTATCCCCAGCGCTCTCCATTGATCATCAGCATACCCTCATGAACAAGCTGCTCCGCAATCTCTGGTGCACTAGTCTCTGTATTCTGACCGCGAGCCCATAGAGGAACCTCAAGCTGAACTGGCCAGTAGTACCATATCAGTTCCATGTTTTCCCTAGCACGAGGGGAATTGGTGGAAGGAGAGATGACAATGTTGTTAGCCTGGTAGGGAGCATTAAATGACGAGAAAGGCTGATAGTGACCGAGGGCTTGCGAGCCAGGATTTCCATAATGGAAAGCCTGTGCAGGGGGGTCGAGGCGATAGCGTTCAAGGCGGAACTTAACGTTCAATTGGAAATTAGGCCGAGGGAAGCGTGGGAGAGGAATGGGAATAGATGGGTGGATGCTGTAGGAAGAGCCAGCATACATAATAGGACCTTGTACAGCATGAGGAGGCTGGCTGTTGGGAGGACCGTTATTATGAACATGCTGATGCTGAAGATTGTTTTGAGGGATTCCACCACCAGTTTGATAGCCTCCTTGTTGTACAAAGCCTTGTTGATTGTATCCACCATGATAGTTGTTGTTGTGGTTACTAGAAGCAGCTGTATAGTGTGTATTACCGTTAAATGCTGGACCAGTAGGAGCTTGCAGTTGAAACCCATGTTGGTAGCCTTGTTGGTTACCTTGCTGTTGTCCACCATGCTGCTGGCCTTGTTGGCCATGTCCACCCTGGCCATGACCTCCGTGAGCGCCTGTAGTGGGTACTACGGTCGACATCGGTACCATATCAAAGAATCCACGATGAAGATGGCGATTAGTAACTTGAGCATAGGTCGCAACGGTGGGGTGCAGAGCGTGGTTCATAAAGAATGCCAAACGAGTAGTATAGGCATGAATAGCCTGCGTGGCAGGAACAGGACAGCGCTGAGCCGTCTCGCAGCAGAATATTTGAGGTGCCGGCTGTCGATTATACTGAGGTACTGGCGGGAGCTGAGGCTGTTGAGGCTGTTGAGGTTGTTGAGGCTGCTGGGACTGCCAGTTTTGCTGAGCATGGTATTGTTGAGCTGGGTTCCAGGCGCCGCCTGTCCATCCGCCGTTATTTTGGTAACCTTGATTTTGATAGGGATTCATGGCTATGTAGGAGGAAGGGAGTTTGAAGGATGTTTTTGCGTTAGATCGAGGGTATTTGTTGTGGAAGACTCGGTCGAAGGTATCGCAAGCAGAATGAGGAGGATGGGAAGGACGGGGAGGGAGTTTGAAAGGAATCTAATTACGAAGAAAGCTTGAAAGAAAAGCGCGACTCCTTGTGCTAATGCAAGGGAACTTGAAAGGAATCAGTCTAATTGAGAGGTATCTTCGTGTTATGAGTGCTTTGAGGAGGAGAGTCTCGATCTAATGAGGAGGAAGAGGTTGTAGGAAGGAAGAAGAAGGAAGTTGTTCACAGTTCAAAGGCTCAGTTTAAGTAATCTCTTATTATTGAAAGCTCAACAGGCTGAAACCGTAGCTCCGCTTCGAAATTACTCAACAGACGCTTTCCTGCGGCTCAAATCACTGAATGGGGCCAATAGAAGCTCCAGAACGCGTCTATACCACTCAATGACCAATAGTACAGCTCAAATACACTCTCAAATGACCAATTTACTCATCCACCTTATGATATTAGATTGATTCTACCTGATTCTATCTAGAATCTGTCGCTCTGCTTCAATCTTGCTCGGCAGAACCTTCCCTATCTTTGAATGATTGAATGAGGTCAATAGAAGCGCCAGTGCGCGTTTAAATCACTCGATAACCTATGATACAGCTCAAATTACGCCCCCAAGTCACTGAATGAGGCTAGTACAAGAGCTAATACGCCTTCAAATTAGTAAATGACCTCTTGAACCGCTCAAATAAACCTCTTAATCACTCACAGACCTGCCGTATGGCTCCAATACGCCATCCCATGACTCAATAACCTATGAAACGGCTCGACTGCGCCTCCAAATCGCTCAACAACCAGTAGTACAGCTCAACGACGCAGTTGCGCTTGTAAATTATTCAATGACCAGTAGTTTAGCTTAATTACGCTCCTAGTCAAGCAATCTAATTAATTATTATATTGTTTAATTGATTTATATCTTAATTTTATCTAGAAAAACATTAAAGATTCACGAAAGATTTTTAACAAATATAGAAATTTACGTGTATTATACTAAACTATTTAGTATTATTTTTAATCTCACTTATATATTTTCTTTATTGTTCTATCTTAAATTGAGTTTATTTAAGTTTCAACTAGCTCTTACTATATTATCGCTTAATAACGTTGAAAAATTCCAGAATGATCGTGATTTATCAATGAAACACTTAAAATACTAGAGATTATAGAGCGTATTTATAGACTATATAGCATTTTACTACTATCTAGGAAGCTAGAGCTCTCAAAAATAGTATATAATTGATTGATAACGTATTTATTTTGAAGAATTGTATGAAGTTTATAGAAATATCTCTCGAGTTCTTGATATATTATAGTAGCTAATTATATAATCTAGTACTATCTATCTCTATCTAGAATTGAAGTCATTATAATAATGATTAGAAAGCTCTACTAATAACCTTTGTAAGAGTAAATAACTTTTAAATTCTGTTTATTAAAGTTAATAAATCGAAAATACTCTTATTTGAGTACTATTCTTTTCAAAGAAACACGTTAAAAAGAGATATATCAAAAGTAAATCAAAGACTAAACTTAGCTAAGTACTATAGAAGCAAAATAAGCTAGATTACTATAGAGTAATATATTTAAAAAATACTCTCAAAGCACTAATTCAAGCTTCAAGTAGTATCAAATTTCAACTACTTCAGAACTCCTTCATTTAACAATTCTTTATCCGAAATCTTATCCCTTAAAGTCTTGCTCGTGTAAATATTCAATTTAGTATCTGACAGTCGAGAAATATCCCGGGTCTTTTATTTATTCGTTTCCGTTCAAATTTACGAGATTAAGTAGTCTAAGAGTGATATTAAAGGTTCAAGTTCTTATATAATTACTAATATGTATTTTTCAAGTATTTTTCTCAAAATCCAGCTTCAAGCGACCAAATCAATATAGAATAGATACACAAAGTGTTTTATACATTTTCTGTAAAATACTATATAATTCTCGATTCAGAAGTATACTCGAGTAAATTCAAGATAAGAAAACTATTCGTGTTAGTATTGTTCAAGCTATAAGCTATAGTGTCTAAAGTTTTGAAGTATTTATCTTTCATTCCGGCTCTTTTCAATTTTCTTACACTATATTCCTGAATACTATAGTCTCTACTAGTATAGGGTTGGGACAAACGGAATTTTATTATATATAATCACGCAGCTAGCTTTATATAACGTAATAATACTACGTATGTAATTATAATAGGAATATAGATTATATATACTATAATGATACTAGCGTTGCTCTAAGCTAGCGCACGCACTATTGCGCTTATAAGAGCTCTCTCTCTCTCTCTTTATAGCTTCTATAGTTCTATATTATCGATAAAAGTACTACACTAGCAAGAATAAACAAGTTCACGTAGCCATTATTGATCTAGTTACTCTCTTTATAGTAATATCAACAATTACAATACGTGATTTATATATTAGTCTATAGTAGAGAAAGCTTTTGTTTAATTAAAATAAAGTATACTTTTCTTGATGATAATTATAGGCCTACTAGCTCTCTCTCCTCCCTCTACTTGTCTCTATTTATCTACTCTCTATAAGTAACAGCAAGCAAGGGGGCTAGTAGGACTATGATTAATAGAGATAGGATTTTTGTAATTGTAAAAAGCGTAATAATCTAGCTCATTTTACTATTTATAGAGTTTTAAAGTTTTTTCCAGTAATCTTGATTTCCCCTCTTTAATACTCCCTTCCTCTTCCTTTCCTCTTATATCCTATTCCTAATATCTGAAAAATGAAGATTTCCTATCTTGCTTCTAATCTCTAAAATTTCGCAATCCTTTCTATCTGTCTAGATATCACTCACTTAGCTATAGTGAGCGGTAGGGCTAAGGGCTAGGGCAATAAGCGACGCTTTGACCACCATAGAGCATATATAATTTAATATTAGCATCTTTATATTTTAGTTCCTTAAAGCAATATAAACACATGAAATACGATAGTACTATTGACATTTCATTATTATTACAGTGATACCAATACTAATCAATAATTCTGATTCTATTACTAACTTATAAATCAGTAAGATATTAACTTTGAAAAGACCTGAGTTTTTATAAAAACATTTACCCCTCAGTATATTAAGAACAAATATCAGATTCAAATCAGAAAAGTATAACTTGAAATTGTATATCTATTTTTTATAACAATTTTATATCACATCACTCTCGAAACTTGCAAACTATAAATAGGAAAAAGTTGTATATCTATCTTTTTGTAATAATCTATTTTATTATAGTTTTTATATTCGGGAGAGTTATATATTTATCCTTTTGTGATAATTTTCCATTGTATATCCAATTGTATATTAGATATTAAATCTGATTCCGTAAATCTATCCTTTTGTAATAGATTCTATATCAAATATCATTTTGTTCGAGTTTAATAACAATCTATACTTTTTTTTCGATTTACAAATAATTTTGCTAATTTTACAAAATTATATTTATTTATATAAATCTTTATAATTTGTACATCTACATCTATCTAAGTATATTTGCACTTATTTAGATATATCTACATTTATTTATATATATTTGTTTATTAATAACG